TGGAGGACACTGAATCTGTTTTTTTTTTTCTATAATGTCTATTTCATTCTGATATTTTACATTTTAGTGCTGGACCAATGGCCGCATTTAGCCGATGAGCCATTGGCCGAATATGATGTCTATCAGCCGTTGCTCTTGCCTTCTGTGAGGTGGAGAGAAACGGCGAAGAACCTTGTTGCCAAATTGTTTACGAGTCAAATTGAGCTCTTCCGGAGCCAAGTTTCATTTCATTGTCGCTGCCACGCAGTGTGTTTCGAAAGAATTCCTGTGTCGACCTGGATATCGATACGATCGAATACGAATCATTCTGATGGGTTTCCGTCGCCGAAAGGAACGACCTGCGTCTTCCTCCTTTCGACTTCTCGAGGCTGTTCGTCCCCCGCGCGAGAAGGGCAGACTGAGGGCGATAAAGCCAGTCGCAGGCACGAGGGAAACGAGTGAAATCCGAGTTATTGCCTGCGAGACGTGACGAGAATGGGAATCCGCCGATGAATCGTCTTCCTTCGTCGCGATGCCCCTATGGGGAAATGTCGGGGCTCCACCCTCGCATCTTCCGTATCGTTGCGTCCTGCGTTTTGCCACTGTGCGTCTGTGTCGTTGACGATCTCCCGGGATGAACACATTTTGGCTTTCATGCTGGTTGCCGAATAGCTTCTGCTGTTGGAATTAGAAATCAGTTGTGATCGTCTCTGATTCGTGGTGTGACATTGTGTGACGAAGTGTGAGTCCTTCGCACGGTCATCTGCTTTAGCCAACTATTCGATCCATCGTTCAATGGCTTCTGGGCGTGATGAGAACCCGTTGGCATCGCATTGACGACATTCCATCGAGGAATCACATGAAGATCTTTGAGAAAGGCAACCAGCCGGATTACGACGCCCACCCAAGAAACCCCGCCGAAACCCCGAAGGCCAGGTACCGTAAGAGCGTTTCGCCCTCCTTAGTCTCCAAGTCCTTATAGCTCCCCTCGCACTCTCGCCGTGCCTCTTTCTTCATCCGGCTGCGGCGCGAATGGGATTAGAGGTCTAAAGGGATGAGGAGATATCGTCCGTTCGCTCAGAGATCGTTCATGAATAGGATAAGCGTTCTGAAATCCAATCCTTACATAAACTACGAAAAGTGCTGAACTCACGCGTTTTGGCAAGCGTACGTCTGAACGTGTCAGATTTATTTCCATGGATATTCATCTTTTCGCATGCAGTTATATGTAAGCAGCTGATGACGGGATGTCGGCTGGCAAAAAATCCTAGTTAAAGCAGGGAGCTGTCATCGGATTCCCAACGAGAGAAGGGGATTCTGCGTCAATCCGGGGAAAGCATTTCCAAAAAGCCTTCAATTCCAAAACTGGTTTCTCATCTGCCGGTGGCAGCCTCTCCTGTCCTGCCTCATTCCACCTTTTATTTGTCCCGATCCCTTCGTTAGACAGGTCTGTGTCTTCGAGCCATTTAAATTCTCATCCCGACCGCCGACGCATTTTACCTGTATATTTGACTCGTTTGCTGCATGTCGCTTTCGTTGCTTGTCGTCATTCTCCGTGAGAGATGGTATTTCATGCTTATGAATTTGATTTCAATTAAGACTTCCAATAATAATAAATCCCCACTCTTCGCTTTGAAGACTTTATTTTGCACGAAAATGCATAACTTACGAACTACTGTACTTCCGTACTTGTTTAAAACACCAAAATGCTCAGAAATGTTCACAGAATACGTCTAAATTAACGATACTGGGAACACGAAAAGTTCTCCCACAACGTTAATCTAGGTTGGCGGTCCTCAATGTGTCGAAACAATACCCGCGTCATCTCTTGACCCACCAAGACTCGTGTGTGGGGTGGTTTTCATACCAAAGTCGAAATTGCACACTTATGAAAATATTAATACTTAAGAATGCACTTCATGAAAACAGGACTGCAATCTTTAAACACAGACTCCGCATATTAGAATACTCAAGGGACCAGCGAACTGTACCCTATAATCCGGAGGATTCCAATAACCGAAACGAATAACTGTATCGTAGAACAAATGGAGCCGTTCCAATGATATTCCATTTTGCGAAGTTGACTGAAGTCAGAATTAAGATATTAAATAGGTGCAGGCAGTGGGGAACCTTTCGCTTCCCTAGTTTCTGAAATAATACCATGATAAATAAATGAATACCATGAGCCTGCGCGGGTTAAGTGACTTTTAAATTGCAAAAAAAAAATAATCACACGTTTGGGGTACAATCTAGTGATTTGATGATGGATTTATCCGTCAAGAAAGCATGAAGGGTGTTCCCATTTGACATCCCTGAACACCTGAGTGTTCTCATGCAATGATTAGCACCTGGCCTCTTCCACCCTTCACTCCCCATTAATTACCGGGGAAACCCAAGAGAACCCTAAAGCATTCTTGAAGAGAAGCGATTGCAGACGGAAACGCGCCAAGGACAATATTACATCGAGAGGAGCCGCCTTATCAATATGCTTCCTGCATTGTGTCAACGTGACTCTGTTTCACTACGTTTCGTGTATGGCTTCCAGGTAACTGGATTTGCAAAATTTTAAGAAAAATCTTAAATGCGAGGCAAAAATGGATTCTGTCTACAGCTGTCTGGTTCGGTGCGTGTGTCAGACGCGTGATGGATCGTGTGAGATTCCATCCACATGGGTAGTCTGCATCTCTCAATGTGCTTTTTCGTAAAAGAGGAATTCCAGTCGACACCGCATATTGGAATACTCCCTTGACCAGCGAACTTTATTCTATAATCCGGAGTATTCCATTAGCCGAAACATTCTGTTGCATCGTATCGTGAATCGGGACTGTCGATTGGTATTCAATAAAGGGGAGCATTCCAGTAAGCGGTATTCTATTATGCAGAGTCGATTGTATTTTGAGAACTACGTGGTTCTCCTTTTTAGTTTTAAAGTTATTTTTTTGTATGAAAAAAACCAACTAATCTACCTTTTTTTAAACTGTTCGGTATAGGAAAGTATTATAGAAATGTCGAGGAATTACAGAGGACTCCCGTCCATGTCCTTGAGGTGATCCTCACGCCCATAATTCTGTAGCCCAGATCATGCGGAAACTCAAGCTGATGGAAGCATTGAAAAGGGTCTGTCTCTCCTTCACCTTCTTACTGCCTATGGTATCGGGACAAGCACGTTGCCCCAAAGCCGATGAGATAAATCCATGCACCTGCTTCAGTCACGATCCCGGCGTCGGGTTTCACGAACCGGACGTCGACTGCTCGAGGGCAAGGACGAGTGATGAGATCTCTTCCTCCTTCAAGAGAGCCTCCTGGCCTACCACTCTCTTATGGTGAGTCTTCCTTCCTTCAGAATTTGCATCACCAGCGCCGTGGAGCATTCTCAGCCATCGAAAGGAAGATATTGCAAGATTTGTCAGAGAAACGTACAGGAGGAATTCAGTTCTGCTACATGATGATTAGGGAATATTTCACATGATGCTTTTCACGAGATTGAGAGTTGACTCAAATTCACCTCATACTGCATTCTTTAAAGTATTTCTTCGTATTTACCCTTGAATTCAATGCAACAGGGCAAGTTAAACCCGATAGGACAAGTTGAGGAATGAATAGGGCGCTGCCCATCGATCAACGATGATAGTCATTTCGACCTATTCCATACCTGAGCCTTGAAATATATGAAGTTTCTACTTATCTCTAAGGCAGGGAATGCATCATTCGTCAACTTCTTCTCTGCAGGGAATTCAGACTGCAAGATAACATGATGGTGACGGAACTCCCCGAAGGAATCCTCGGGAATGTCTCCTTCCAATACATCCGAGTGAAGAACACCGCCATCGAAAGAGTCCATCCGTCTGCCATCCTGCCATCGAAAAACCGGCTCATAGAGCTGGAAATTCAGCATTGTCATCTGAAGGAGTTCCCATTCGAGATCCTTCCGGAACTTTCATCCCTCGCAACACTCCACCTTTGGAACAATACCTTGACTTTTATCCCGGCCCTTCAGAGCAATAGTCTTAGGGTACTATACCTCTCATTCAATAACATCGTGAAAGTCGAGAGCAATGGATGGATGACTCCTAATTTGAAGGTATTTGATATTGGTGAGCGATATGTCTTTCGTGAAGCGGTTATTCTTGATTCACTCCCTGTGTTCCCATTCTTCTGAATCCCTTCCATAATCTATAGTTTGGATTTAAAATAAGAACGTGTTGTGACAATAACTTCCAAAAAGGATTTCCTCAAGAATTTTAATATGAAGTGCACATGGAAACGATAGTAATGCGTATCTGTGCAATGTACTCGTATTCTGGCTGATTTCAGGCTTGAATTCCCAGTAGAAATGGATATACAGTAGATAATCCGATACACCCATATTCATAGGACAATGGGTATATATACGTCTTAATAAGTTATTAACTCTTTCAGACCTGAATTAAAGCGCTATCGGAATTATATAATTTTTTCTGCATTTTTGAGCTCTTTCGCGATTGTAATTGAAATTTTTATGATTTATATGCAGTTTTTATATATTTTTTGAATTTACCATGCCATACCATATATTATACATTTTACATATAATTAAATAACTGAAGATTATGAAATTAATGGGTGAAAGAAGGCCTCTGATGGAATTGAGCAATGGATAATTGCACCCGTTGCAGTGTAATAAGGAGCGCAAAGTCACGAGGATCCTAAGAAATTGCCATAGACATAATGTAAATGTAATGCCCATTGGAATGTACGCCAGGTCTGAAAGGGTTATTGTAAACGACAATGAGACGTGGTCCCAAGATGAAAAAGGCAGGAATGGTGCTAAAGTCTCCTACTTCTGTGGAAGAAAATATCTCATTTCATGAGCATCTTTCCACTGTTTCGAACAGCTGTGAATCCCTCCTTGGAGTTCCCCGCTGGAGTGGTGAAAAACATGAAGAATCTGGAGCTCTTTTGGAGTCCTCGGACCAATCTTGGACCCACACTTTCAGACGGAATGTTTCCGTTCCACAGCAAGTCTTTAAAGACGGTTGGGCTCGGTGACAACAACATCGGAAGACTTGAACCGCATGCCATCACAGGTAGGAATTCCCGCCCCTAAATATACCTTGAGAAAGACAAATGGTACAACTCCCCCAACTCGATAGTGAAATATAAGTTTGCAATTCAATATTTTCGTCATCTCCTTCGCCATATATTCTGAAAAGCAAACGCATGTATGATAATCTCCAACATGTGATATTTTGAGATGAGGGGGTCATCCAGCGACAAGGATTTAGGAAGCAAAAGGTGCATCAGTCAGGAGTCACTAAAAATGAGTCACTAAAAATGAGTCACTAAAAATGAGTCACTAAAAATGAGTCACTAAAAATGAGTCACTAAAAATGAGTCACTAAAAATGAGTCACTAAAAATGAGTCACTAAAAATGAGTCACTATCACTTTCACATCAATTCCTAATTGCGCATTTAAATCTGTCTTGGCGCAGGTTGAAAATGTATTTTAATTGAAGAAATCAGCAAAGAAGTGATCATTTCTCGAATTCGTCTTTTAAATATACCTTTCCCAAAAAAAAACAGCGGGGTAGGCAAGGAAAGAAAGCGTTCACCTGAACAGATCCCGAACCCCAAGTCAATCTGGCTCTTCTTGGCTCCTGTCTCACACATTCCCTCTGACCCTGTCACTTTCCACTTCTTGCTAAGACCCTAGTTCCACAAACGAGGGCCTTGTTTCACTCTGGCTCGAATGGGGCTTATGATTCCGGTCTGTTTTCACTTTACCGGCCGAGGATACCCCACTGTTTGTTTTTGAAATGGTAATATAGCAAAAACAGAGCAAAGCTTGATTTTTCTATAACATCTATTATCATCCAGTGTTTTTTTTGGAATTTCCTTCAAGAGAGGATAACGCGAAAACTTTGAGGTGGATTCCATTTCAGGTGTCACGTCGGACACAGAAGTGTTTCTAGACGGAAACAAGATTTTTGAATTATCCGAGGAAGCCTTCCGGCCTCTGCTGGAAATTCTTTCGCAGGGAAAGGGATTCCTCAGCGTGAGGGGTGAGTCCGGTCGAATGTCGTTCGTATGTCGTTCGAATGTCGTTCGACCTGTCCGGTTTCGATGGCAATTTTTTTCTTCTTCCCCGGATTGTAGGAAATCCCATTGATTGTGATTGCGGCTTGGCTTGGTTGATTTCCGAATCGAATTTCCTGGGGAGTGTTCGTGGAAATTGCAAAGATGGAACCGATTTGATTAACCTGAATCTGGATTGTCAGACCTGTCCTTACGAGTGCGTGAGTCCTCAACAAATGCCTTTCTGCACTCCGGGAACAGTGAAGACGTCGAGCGTGGACAACTGTCAACGGGGTGAAATTTGTTGTCAGCGAAGCATTTCCACAACACCTGCGACGACAGTTACGACGACAACGGCAAGGATGCCCTCGTGCCCTGTCGATTTCGGGTTTTCATGTCTAAATGCCGAATATGAGGCATTATGCGATCAGGGCGTGGTCCTGCCCCTTGCCTGTCCTCTGAAGAATCAAGTCTGCTGCCGAATTAAAACCTCCATCGATCGTCCCCCGATGCCAGGTACGCCTGAGGATCAACCACACCCATTTTATGAGAATTGTAATCTCTTCAGATGGCTGAACATTTGCATATGGCACGGTATCGCTTAGCAGCACGTGATGATCGGGAAGGATTCTATCTTAATTTGTGGCTTCCGTCAGCTTGGTTATATCTCGACGGTATTTCTAAGAATCGTGCTGTCGATATGTTGGAGTGATGAAATCTAACTTTGCGGCTCAGTTGATCCTTTGAGACTGGTGAAATCAGCCTCTCCAAACTTTTCTACATTTCTTGGTAATCAGGCAGGGTGAAAACTATGCATAATCTGTTCAAATAACCATTTATTTAATAATGCATTTGGACATTGCTGATTTCTCCGTTCCCACAATGAATAATTTATTTAAAAAGTTCTCGTCTCGTTCCGAACAGGCAACGAGAGTGGATGTGGACGACTTGTCGACATTAAGCATGGATATTTTAAGGTATCATGTGGCACGCCGCCTGAACATTTCCGCAGCGGCAACAGTGCCGAGTGCACAAGAAATGGAATATACGCGATTGGGAGCGATGTATCATATTCGTGCGATCGATTTTATGAACTAAAAGGATCACCGTATCGGACTTGTACTGAGGATGGACAATGGAGTGGAAACCAGCCGTTCTGCGAAGCGGGTCTGTTTCATGCAAAATATTTCCTACTCACCTGACCCATTCCGAAAGTGGAGATTCAGTCGTCTCGTACTTTAAAGAGTGCGGGAGGACGGTGCTACAAAAGCAGCTGTCCAGTGGGGGAAAGCCATCCTTCGCGGGCGAATGGCCGTGGCAGGCGGCCCTTTACGACGTCAAGGAAGGGGACGTCGTTTGCGGAGGAGCGCTGATCCGAGAGGAATGGGTGCTGACCGCGGCTCATTGCGTCGTTATTGGCGGCTCCGAGAGACCTCGTAACCGAACGGACTTCTTCATCTACCTGGGGAAACATAATCGATCGAACGGCATGGACGATGAATTCGTGCAGAAGAGACAAGTTCTGTTTCAACAAAATTCTCATGCATCATTTGCAGCAATTCGTCCATGATGGAACAGGTCGCATTCTCTTCTTAGGTGTCTGGGATATTCCTGCATCACGAATTCAACGCGCGAAATTACGACTCGGACATTGCCTTGTTGAAACTGACCGAACCTGTGGAGTTGACTCCGCGGGTTCAGTTGATATGTCTCCCGAAAAAAGATTCCGACTTCAATATGGACGACGGAAAGATCGGATGGGTGAGCTGCGAATCATCACCTTAAAATGACTTTAAACACAGCTGAAGTTTTCGTTGAACGCATTTCTTCTATTTTTTGATGATGCAGGTTGCCGGCTGGGGACTCGACGAATCGAATCTCCAAGTGGATGTCCTGACGAAGTCACAGATGCCAGTAATTTCCAATAAGGAATGTCGTCGGGACACTATTCATATCGAAGGGAAACCCTTGATAGCTAATACCTTGAACTCCAATATGTTCTGTGCTGGTCACAGTAAGGACACTCCTCTTGAAGGTATGGTCTCGAGAGTCACGTCTTCGAATTCGAATGATCCGAGCTCGTCATCGATCCTTTGTTGTTTGCTCAGCTTCAATTTTGATTGTGGTTTTAAGTCTAAGCTGGAGCCCAAATGACGGTGCTCCGTATTTTAGTCCTTCGTGGAAATGATTTGGACCAAACATGGAATTGAAACATATATGAAATTCTAAAGATGCTGCACAGGTAGATCAATTCTTGCGCATTGCAAGACGCATTTTAAAGATATGCAAAATAACTCTCAAGATAAAATCATGCCAATAAGTTTTCATGAATATGAAAAAGCTTTGTTATACGTAGTTCTTGGAATGAACTGCTTTTTCGTTGAAATTTCTGTTCATTGACAAAGACTTTTCCCTGATCACGCCCTTCGTACGAAGCCCTTATCAATATTGTATTTTCGGCCCAGAATACGCATCGGTGTGTCCCGGGGACTCTGGGAGCCCGATAGTTTTCCCTTTCGAAAGCTCGAAAGCCAGCTATTGGACGGCGGAAGGGATCGTGAGCCATTTTTTCAACAAGGCGTCTTGCTCCATGAGGCGACCCGGACAGTACGGAGTCTTCACCAAAGTCAATAGGTCAGATTATTATTCCGGTATTATTCATGTATTATTCCGGTATTATTCCTGTCCAGAGGAATACATCGGCTTTTCCTCCCTTCACGTTATCGAGTATCATAATGATCGTAATATTTTTCGTTTCCATCTGTTCAGATTCATCCCATGGATTGAAAGAACGACGTCGAGAAACGCTTCGCCATAGACTGCGATATCATGATTTTCCGAGCGCTTCCAGACTGTTTCCTATATCTGTTGCCCCCCTCCCCATTTCAAATAAAACTAAACGCTGTCCCATATTTGCCCATTTATTCAATATTCCAAGAAGTATTTCCTTCACGTGGTATATTTTTATCGCTTTACAGGATGATGGGCAAAGTAGTGCTGATTTCCTACATGTATGCACTGTCATTGCATGGCTGGAGATTCATTCTCACGTCACAAATAAAGTTTCTAGGTTACGTATGAGACATAGTGAGATATTTCTGTTATCTGATGGCGAAATTAAAAAGCGAATGCCTCAACTGCTGGGCTTTACTCATTTTCGTTTCGTTAAAGGATGATGGCAATTGAAATGAGCATGCTTTTCTTCTTTTTTTTACGATTTCAATACAGTTGGTGATATCAAGAGGCAATTACACCCATTTCGATATCACGTGTCGAGGTCGAGCGTTTCTTAATTTAAGGGTAGGCCTAATCCTCTTAAAGCAAAATATATATTTTTTTCATTTTTGCGTATCCTAGTTGCTTACTGCCTGGTACCTAACGTGAACATTGCCCACTACTTTTTTGCCTGTCCATGAAAGCATCCAGTTTCTTCTTAAAGATCGTCACAGCACACAAATAAGTAAGCTATTTTTTTTTACAGAGCATGAACAGTGGACGGCCTACTTCTTCACTGAAATTCACAATATGTAATCTTATAGATGGACCTTAGTCATGCGCTTTCAACAGAAGTAATACAGCACGGCATCACGCAATCCCTAGTGTCACATTCGACCTCTTCGTTCTCATCGACATGTGAAAGGTGTAGAGAAAGCTGAAACGAAAGCTGAATGTACCGGAAAGAAAGAGCACAGGAAAAATCCTAATTTTGAAATATGTCTCCTTAGCGTAAATTATTGGAGGGAAGTATTTCACATGTATTTTCCACCCTTATCCTCTTTAAAGTAGGTTCACATTTCCTACATTCACTATTGCCTAACTGGGTGAATCTTTGCTTCCTGGTTTGTTTTCCTTAACAGAGCTTTCCAAAGATTTTGTTTCCCTTTTCAGGCAGCAAAGTTGTAAGATATGGAATGTTGAGAGTCATACAGTTTCATTACGAAGTTGATGCAAGTAAAGAAACAACATGCATTGATACAGCATCGTGTCTTGTGCTCCTACAGTGAAGAGCGTCCACAATTAACACCCCATGGACATTTGCAGCATTGGAAGCATACGACCAGGGATTCGCCCCCTTCCTAACGAAGTGCTATTTACGAAGGCATAGTATGTGATAGCACACAGTACACAGTTGCAGGACGCGTGACGCCATGCTGAAATTACCACATTTTGTTTGTTTGCTCATATCAGCTTCCACATAGGCAAATCAGTAGCAGTAGTGTTAAATTTGCAATTAAGATGTTAATACTTCAAGTTGAATGATATTCCAAATAAAAAGCACAGGAATTCGACATCCAAAATGTTTCTGTACAATAAAAAGTATCAAACAGTGAGGCCATATTCATCAAAGCCAAGAAGCAAGACCATGGAATCGTCCTGATAGAGATGCCATGATGATTTTAGATGATGTAGACAACCAACTGCTACGTTATTCCTGGGAAGATATCATTCGGAGATTGGATGGCTCGTACATTGCCTAATGGCAAATCGTTCAATATTACCTTTTTTTCTATCAACCACAGCAGGAAAAGCAATGGATGAGAGGTGTGAGTAAATTAGTTGTCGGCTTGTACTCACCAGTTTGTTTTCCAAAATACCTCAAGGACTTCTCCCAGATGAGTAGTAAGAAAAAACCTCGATTAGGTTTTGTATCCTTGGCTTTGTAAATGTAAAATGTAACCTCACAAGATTCTCATTCTTTCTTTTGTATGAGTGTTTTGGCTGTTGAATTTCTGGTATAGTGAAGTCACAGTTCCATTGTCTTTGTTTTCTTTTCATGAAGGATACATAGAAATAGCCAAAAAGAACAAAAATCCCCAGTGCACCCAATATCGCCTCAACAACAATTGGAATCGCCTGGTCCGTGTCCTCGTTTTCACCACGAAATTTTCCTAAGAAAATATGAAAGTGGATAAGGGCCGGAAGCAGTTGCCAGTGCTCTTTTTTCAACGTATGGAACGATTTGTTACTCGCTGTTGGCGAGGGTGTTCCGTGGCTTGAGGACATTGCCTTTTTCTTCGAAAGGCGCCTTCTTCCCAATGGTGTTACCATTGGTGGGGATTTTCCATCCAATCGGAATATTCCTTTCTTTCAAGAAAGACTCGAGGAAATCTGTGAGAGGAGCAAAGTACTCAAGGATGGCATCAGCTGAGATGGTTCTTTCCCCCGTCAATTCTTCCAGGACATCTGGCCATGGTTCTGATGATCCCTTCCTCAACATTTCTCTGTTATGAGTAAAAGAAAAGATTCAGTTCCGTGAGTCACTCTGTTACAAAGTTGCGGTGAAATAATATAATCATAGGAATATGACAGCCATATTCATGCGGACAGAGCATCTGAATGACATCATTTATTAATAGTTTTACCGTGGCAATTGGGAAGGTTTTCGTCTTGTATTGCAATGATTTCAGGATTTCCTTACTTTAGCACCAGCAATAGCCCTCAACCTAGCACCAAGAGGTGCTACAGGTGCTCTTACAGCTTGAGTGGAGTTGAACCCTTTGATGCCCAAGCGCGTCATATGACAGGCTTTCACAATCGCCTCATGTTTTTCACTTTTATTTCTTATATCCTGTTTGTTGTACAACAAATTATCCTAGTTTGTTGTACAGTTATTGGCAGTACTTATGAATCTCACGAGTAATTAATTTACGAGGGACAACGTGCATGATGATTATTGCATTGGCTTTTGGCATATTCAAGGTTTAAATCTTAAAGATGAATGTGGGATCATTCTATGGAGGCGAGGTTTAGTTTTTTCATATAATTGTCAATTCAGCTGAAAATTTTTCATTTCTGTTAAATCGAGAATTTAAATTGTTGATGGCATTACATTATACAGGATGTGGTCTTCATTTTATACCAAAGAAGTTGTAATAGTATTAACTTTTGATGGAGTAAATACTTCATTTTGGGGATGGGGGTAATTTTGTTTACTGAAACCTAAAAATGGCTTTAGAACTAAAGGGTTAAAACCATAGACGTTAAAACAGGTCCATCGTCCTGTCCAATCAGAGACCCATGAGAGAAAATTTCCAGCTATGACCGAAAGTCTTACACGCCACGCATGTCCAATGGTCGTGATCTCCCTGTTGCGTGGCACCATTTTGCATCAATGGCCTTCAGATGTCTAGTGTCCGATTCTGCAGTTGAATATTCGGAGTATTTTTGCAAGTAGCATACAGAATGCACTGGAACTGCGTTCGCACGAGTGATAGGGAAATATTCACCCTTAACTCTATTTATGAGCCAGAAAAAAGACTTCCAAGTAGTTACTCACTCAAATGCCAATCCTGCTTCTGAGCTACCAGCAATGTCGCAGAGGTGGAGAGGGTTGGTTTCTGGATCGTCTGGGTCATACTGTCCAGCCTTGATACAAAGAGTCTTGTGGAAAGTGAACTGCAATATGTGCGCCACAAAATACCTGGATGGCACAATATTGTTCAACAATCCACAAAACAAGTTCTTCTAATACCCAAAAATTGACTGAAATTTCTGTCTTACCTGATGTACGGGACGTTGGCGATGGTGTGATACTTGGCTCCGGCATCAAACATTTCCTCAGTCCTTTCATTCCCGGCCTGGAGCCCTTGATACTCCTCCCTTTAGCAGAACGAGGAAGCAATATACATGTTTTTGTGGATATAGGATGGGGAGGGGAGACCCGATGCATCCTGAGTTTGGTAGATGCTGGACTGGGTCTTGAATATATGTACTGTAAGATAGTGTGGTTTACTAGGGTTCGGAACGACCGATCACCGTCGTGATCGTTTAAATTGTCCTTCTTGCTAGTGAGTGCATGAGCAAAAAAACGTGTGTCATACAGAGCCCAACTTTGAAAACCAATAATTTCCTGTCGGAGATAGCTATCGATATGAGACTACCATCTCTACATAGCTTAAGGCCAGGGCTGTCAAATGCTGCAAGAACTGTCTTGTCTTTTTTATCTTTAACCAATGTTGGAGCCAAAAGCGTCCCAAAACTCACAACGTTGTGCCACTTTTGGGGTACTGCATATACAGTATGAGTATTGCAATAGTATTGCATCACGAGCGGACTAGGTTCATGGTTTGCTGTCCCTAAACTGTTTCCCGCCATCATTTAAACAGCTTAAGGACGCTTCAGCAAAGCAGTTAGTGAGATGTAGCTTATGTAACTCGAGCAAATGCACTACATGGTGTTCGTACAATGCCGACTTAGTTTCTGATCAACATCAAACAACATGAAGATTCATGGGTTGTTTTTGGATGTCCGGGAGAAAACCTATTACCATGATTGAGGCCGAAAAATCATAGAGGGTGATTTCTGGCATTCTTGCAGTGCACTTAGCAAGTGTCAGTCGATGGTGAAAACACCGGAAGACCAGAGAGAGCCTCTAATCAAAGGCTCGTCCAGGACATCCAAAATTCCTTTCAACCTCAGCAAAAATGATCATATGCAATAGTCTCGGGAAAAGAGGCATGTCCAACAGGAAAATGGCCTCCAGATTAAATAAATTTCCCCAAAAAGGGTCTTTCATGACAGCACAATGCTATCTTTAAAATGATCATGGTGTCAAGGCCTACTGGGGGCCCAAGAAGCTCCTTCTTATGGACGCCATGAAGGAGAAATATCTGAAGTTTGTTGTGGAGTACAAATACTGGACTAGTGAAGACTGAAAACGTGTGGCATGGTCAGATGAGTTTGTGCTTCAGCTTCTCTGGCCATTCAACCCACAGTGTGACAGGATCTGGAGCAAAAGCTGCGCCTTTTTTCCTACTGTCACCACAGTCAGGCACTCACTGAGGATCATGGGGTGGGGCGTGTTCTCTCATGAAGCTTACTCAGAGCTCCATATGATCCCACCAAAACAATGTATGAGCACAATTTATTATCTGGAGAACATCCTCCAAAAGCCCTGCCTTGATGCCCTTAACTACATGATCACAGGAGGATCAATTCTGGAGCAGTACTTGGTTGAAAAAAGGTCAGACGCCATCTTCATGCATGACAATGCCCTTTGTCATGCCACCAAAGCCACCACTGCCTGGTGTCAGAAGAACCTGCTTGTATTCTGTGGAAGGGTCAGTGACCAGGCAACAACCCTGACCTTAATCCCATTGAAAAAAATCTGGCAGATTCTCAAGCAGGAGGTCAAGAAGACGAAACATGCCACGAGCTACAAGCAGTTAATCCAGAAACTCAAAAATGCATGTGTAGACTTGAATTCAGGCATTCGCAAAAGTTTAGTAAGAAGTACGTCTCAGCAAATGCAGTTGGTTATCTATATGAAGGGAGATTACATTAGTAAATTAATTAGTTTCATCACAATCTTTGGAGGGCTATAATCTGAATTTTTCCAGTTTTGCAATACATTTGACCCATCCTATGTATACTGTACATATTTTTTTTACTAATACAAGACTATGACCTGGCAGGCCCTGCCTGATTTTGAAGTGGAATCACCCATGTATAGCTAGGCCTCAAATGGGGCTCAGGATTCCTGGGCTCTTTCCCAACTGGGGATATCTCGCCTCTCAGTTTTTTTCTTTGGAATGGTGTATTATAATGTACCATCTGAATGAAATGCATAAGCAAAACTGAAAGTTTAAATTGGTAGAAATTCTGAATTGCGTAAAGACTGGCAAAAAGTGATTTGTGGCGTTCCAGGAAACAATACTGTATGTTTTGCAACGTATGATGAAATATGGAGTTGTGTAAAAATACTCGCAAACCAGTGTTAAGACTTACCTAAGTGCCCACCAAGCAGCATTCAAATCGGTGTCTGAAATGGAGCCGTTGAAGATATTCCATCTATACAAATCCATGACGTATCCGAAGGGGAGGAAAGAAACTTTCTCCAATGCCCTTCTAAGCAAGAAATTTATCTGGGCTTCTGCTGACATGTTGGCAGCTTCTGGAGATAGGAGCCCCAAGGAGTAAAGATGTCCCGGAGTGGATACAGAGAGTGATAGAGTATCTCCTACTGCTTCATGGAAACCTAAGCACGGAGGTGAAATCAATGAGCATCTCACACTAAAAAACCTGAACGCATTTGATGTACCGCTTCATTGAATCCCCTCCATCATATATATGAAAGGTAACGAAAGTGAGTATGCCGGATATTATCGTTCGTTTGGGAAATAGAGTACGTTTTTAAAACTTTGCTGTTTCCCCACAATAGTAAGTGGCTATTTCTTTATGCGGGAAACTTCTCTTTGAGCAAGTGGTGAAGTAAAACCTCGAAGTTTCCATTTCCTATTAGCTCAATTACATAAGAATTGGCTCAATATTCTAGCATGGTTATTATTTGTTATTTCTGATCGATTTCGTTGGGGGGAGCTGCGAAATACGTATGTTTCCTCTATACTGGAAAAGTCTTACCTCGACGAAAACAAGAGAAATATCTTCAAAACCGAAAAATTACGCTTATTTTAAAATTCCAATGGGCAAAATTTCTCTAAGGGACGGAAAGTAGAGCTCGTTACATGCCTACTGTGGAATCAATAAATTACACTAAAAGGAAATACGGTATATGGTAGCGGTCATGTATTGAATACTTTATTAAGTGCATAATATGCAGGGTGAGTATAAAGTATCAAAGCTGGAAGCCCTATTGCGCCAAAGCTATAAGGGGTAGGTGTCATAGCACAGGACTGAAAATTAAAACATGGGAATTCCATTTTAACATTCACCAACTCTTGCGACAGTGAACTCACCTGGCACAATTTGCATATTACCCATACATTACACGGAAAATTATATAAATACGCTGCTGATCATATGTACAGGCAAATATGCATCATGAAGGTGACAGAGTTGCGGAGAAAGGGAAGCAGACGTTTTCCTCCGTCAATGACACACCTTCAATGCAAATTATACTTTGGTGGCTCCTCCTGTGGGAAGTTTTGGAGATGTTACATCATGGAATGGGGGAAAACACTGGTGGCAGACTAGATAACTGCTGAAAACGTTTCCTTATGTGCCCTTTGTCGAAAGAGTACAATGTCACTTTATTATACCTCATAGCTTAGGTGCACTGGGGCTCTTAAGTATACTTCTTCTGAACACCTTGTAATCAGAGGTGGACAAGATTTAAAATAGTTGTCTTCAAAATTCCATTTTTCAATACATTTCAGGTATTTTGTATTTAGTATTTAAATACATATCGCAACATATATTTAATATTTAAAAAAACTCCGCAAAAAAAAGTATTTTGAAATACAAGGCTTATTAAAAAAAGGACGAAACCTTCTCTGCAGCTCAAATAACACTCGTCAAAATTGTTGGCCACTCTGCAGGCGTAACTATTTAGGTTGGTGCAAAAATAATTGCGGTTTTTGTTATTCCAAACTTTGATGCTTATTTTGGAATAAACTTTTATTTAACTATGTTCATGTAATATACCATGTTAAAGCGCGGTATTCGCTCTACTGATTTACGCTAATGGTTTGTTTTCGCTGTTTATTCTTGTTTATTTTAGGCTGTGATATTAAAGATGGAAAAAAAGCAAATTCGAGCGATTCTATTGCATGAGTTCAAAATGGGACGTAAAGCAGCGGAAACTGCTCGCAATATCAACCAAGCATTTGGCCAGGGGACCGTCAAAGAACGTACAGCTCAACATTGGTTCCAAAAATTTCGTAGCGGAGACGAGAGCCTTGAAGATGAGGGTCGCGGACGTCCTTCTGCGATTGACGACAACCAATTGAAGGCCATTATTGAAGCGGACCCACGCAAAACAACTCGAGAGATTGAAGAAGAACTAATCGTTGACCATTCAACAGTTGTTCGACATTTGCACTCAATTGGAAAATCAAAAAAGCTCGACAAATGGGTGCCGCACGAGCTGAACGAAAATCAAAAAGTTCGCCGTTACGAAGTCTGCTCTGCGCTTCTTTTGCGCAACAAAAACGATCCATTTCTTGATCGCATTGTGACATGTGACGAAAAATGGATTGTCTACGACAACCGACGGCGTTCCGCGCAGTGGCTGGATCGAGGTGAAGCACCAAAACACTTCCCCAAACCGAAGCTGCATCAAAAGAAGGTTATGGTCACTGTTTGGTGGTCGGCAAGTGGAATCATCCACTACAATTTCTTGAATCCCGGGGAAACCATCACATCAGAGAAGTATTGCCAGGAAATCGACAAAATGCACCAAGAACTGCAACGTTTACGTCCAACATTGGTCAATCGAAAAGGACCAATTCTTCTCCATGACAACGCCCGACCACATGTCTCGCAAATGACTCTGCAGAAATTGAACGAATTGGGCTACGAAACTCTACCTCACCCAGCTTACTCACCAGACCTCTCTCCGACCGACTACCACTTTTTCAAGCATCTCGACAACTTCCTGCAAGAGAAAGTTTTTAACAACCAAGCAGCAGCTCAAAACGCCTTCGAAGAATTCATCGGTTCCAGGACTCCAGAATTCTGGGCTACCGGAATAAATAGACTTGTTTCTTGTTGGCAAAAGTGCGTAGATTCTAATGGTTCTTATTTCGATTAATAAACTTTATTCTAAGCTGAGATATACTGCTTTAAAGTTGATGGTTAAAAACCGCAATTATTTTTGCAACAACCTAAATATTTTAAATGTTCACTTTGCGACTCATGCTAAAAATGCCAGTGCTCTTTCGTTTAAGGAACTCTGTTGGTGAGAAAAAAAACTGGCATGGTCAGTAACTTTCGGCGGATTTTACTGGAATGCCAGCGCTGGAGCAAAGGGCAAAGATAAAGCTCTCAAAATCGTTCACTAAGACTCTCGAGCTTTTGCAAAAGATGTACCTACGTACAACAGACACTTGCTGCAGATATCTCCAGTAAAATCCGCCGAAAGTTACTGACCATGGCAATTTCTTTTTATCACCAACAGAGTGCCTTAAACGAAAGACCACTGACATTTTTATCATGAGTCGTAAAGTGAACATAGTTGACGCCTGCAGAGTGGGCAGTGTTATATCGACGAGTGTTATTTGAGCTGCAGCGAAAGTTCCGTTCCTTTTTGATCAGCCTAGTACATTTGACCAAATATAAATACTTTCTAGTTGGTTCAGTGCAACTTCAAACATGGCTACCTCAGAAATTTGCTTTCTATATTGGATGGGAAGTTCTTCATGCATTGTGGAACGAGTAGGGGAAACGGTCAAGGTCTAATATGCTGCATGCTCTACAAAATGATTAGTGGAACTATAGCAGCGACTTCCAACTTCTTCAAACATTTGAAGTTTGATTTTGTTGCGATATGTCTGTGGGAATATATTGACCTAACCTCTTCTTGGTTCAAACAAGGTTTTTCATTTGTCATATACTGGTCATCTTTAGATCTAGGCCTTGTGCACGTCCAAATCTCGCCAATACAAGTTAATATTTACTCTATGTTCTTTGCTTTCAGAGAGTTTATCAAAATCTCGTTGAGGATTAAAAATGCTATGAAGGGGAGTATTCTGAGATTCGAAAAGGATAACACAAAGAGTGTTATGCTCAGCCAATGTGATGTGAATGCCAAAGGTCAGAACTTCTGAAGGATTCCTGATTTTGGAAAACATCTGGAAGGCATGATTTCATGATGAATGGAAAATTTTTACATTTGCATTTTCAATTGTATTTTAGAATATGTATTTTTTATTTGAAATAATATTACTGGGCTGTATTTATATTTTGAATTTACAATCAATTTACATGGGTATTTGCGTTTTGTTTTTAAGTACTCAACCCCTTCATTTTGCCTAGGTCTACTAATAGTTCTGCAGGACCTCTTCTGGAAAGAACAAGTTTGGCAAAGTGGCATGAACTCACCATTGTTCGCTCCATCCCTGAAAAGTACGGGGAGATTTGCATATTGAAGAAAGTATTGTATATGACCCATCTCATGATGTACAGTGATGAAGTCAGTCATGTCCACGCCTGTACACATCTTGATTCTGCATGGATTTTGAATTTGTTAGTGAAATTCGGAAGGAATTTTCACTCCTTCATGCTGCATGAGTTAATGAGCTAATTAATTTCATCTACGCTAATCTGTTAATCGTTGGTTTGTATTAGTATGTTTTACCATGTTCTTTTGTCCCTTACTTCACGCTTTGCCATGATATCAAATTAGCACTGAATTTACTCACAAATAAATGATCCTATGGCTAGTTTGCCTGTTGGCTGTCGGTCATGGATTCGCGCTCATTGATGGGTCTTGCGCGTGCAATATTCATGTGAAAAACCAAAGTCAAACAATTACAATATTGTTAGAATGAGGAAATTTACAAATTGAGCGTCAGTCCGTATAATACTAATAGGATATTATACTTTGTATACTAATACTTTGAGATTAAAGTTGAACGCCAGCCAAGAGCTCCAAGAGCTCCATCTCATGTCCTAATATTCTCCTTTTCCCGATGTCATTTTTTCTGGAATGTGCTGTAGTTGCTCGGACATTCCCAGCATTGTATTCCATTATGGTAATGACGAATCTTGATGCCTGATGGATGTAATCCACTGAAACCAGGATTGTTCCTGTTCTTTATTAGAATCAATGATTTTCCATGTTACATCTTGTTGATTTCATTTCCATTATTTTTAGTTGCGGTGATCAGCTAAATACGATATCAAACACGCAAGAGTTCCATAGGTTTCTCAAATAGTTTGCGATCCATGACAGATTCTTCATTAAAATGTCCAGAATATTGCTTGGCTATCTTGTGTCAATGTCAAATATCAATGTCAGTTATCGAATCATGGGAGAACGATGCCAAAATCATTCTCCACTTGCAAAAGGTATTACACTGATATAAACATTTAAATCTACCTGAAATCCTGGCCATCCAAGAAGTCCCATGCTGATGCATGACAGACAACTTCTCTGTCATCTGGTTTTGTGAGCATGGAATTCTCCCAAAAGGAATCAGACACGACCATGAGACCCAAGTCCCTAAAAAACTCATCTGCCACCTCAAATATTCTCCTCGCATCGTATCCCTGTGCAAGGAACAATTCACTTTAGCGAAAGAAATAATAGGAATTTCTCCAACGAAATTGAAGAAGTCAATAGTTTGTAAAAGTTCCATAGTGGCTTATGACAGAAACAACATTGATTCAATGATGATTCAACATCCAGACGTTGAACCAACTTTGAATCAATGTTGATTTCATGTTATATGCTACTAGGATTATGGAGGTCTTCATTATCGGGATTTTTTTTTTACCAGAGGCTTTGAGTTGGTTTTAGATTCTAGCCTTTAGATTCTAGCCTTAGCTTTAGATTCTTTTTTTAAAAGAAACATGGATGATATATGTGAACATACAAATGTCGTACAAATCACCTGACTTTCCACTAAATACGGGACACGAACTATCGAAAGCTCTTGTTTCAAGACATCGAAGAATTTTCCTTATACTTTGTTACTTATACCCATACCTTATATATGAAAGCCTTTTCAGAAGCCTTTTTTTTTCTTCCTCTCAATGCCACATTAACAATCTCGCATCTCTAACACCAGACTATTGCTCTCAATGATTAAGGAATCACTTTTGGGTCATAGGTTTCACAGTGGTAAGGACATCAATATGAGTATGATCCTCCTGATGGCTCTGCTCTGTGATGGTGCGGCAACTGGAATAATATGTACACCAGAGATATGGCACAAGTACATCGATCCTCATGCTCCACTTGATAGTTGAATTATATAGTATGTCTGAATTTGTTCATGCTACTTCAACTAAATATAAACCGAAAAGTAATATTGTTTTGGATTACCCTTTCATGTGAATAGGCTCCCGTTATATAGCCTCAGAAAAAATGTGGCAAAAAAGGAAAATGCTGGATAAATTCATCGAAAAACCGTTGTTCTGTTTGAACCTTGGAAATGAAGCCTTTTTGGTGTAGTGATTTGAAAGTCGGTATTGGAATCTGTAAAACAACAGTCTCGGGCAAGAAAACTCCACACGCATTCGCAGAAGCATATCAAAAGAAAATCATCTTCAGAACTCTTTTCAGCTGCTCTTCCACTCCGCTTAACACGATTAACATTGCTCAAACGAGAAACTAATGAATGTGATACTAAAAAATCTTCGTTTTAGCGATTCTAAATGTCATCTCGCACTTGTCAGACACCCTTTCCAGAGAATAGAATGCTGTTACACTTTTGCAGTCACGTATATCCTGTGAATGCCTGCGTGTTCTTGTCTGTACGAAAATTTTAAGAAATAGGCGATAGATAATACAGGGTGTTTCAAAAGTCGCGGAAACTTATATATAAACAAGTGCTGTTACATACTTAACAGGAACACGTATACATCAGGTATTGCATTACGTACTGTGGGTCCGTATTTTTGACATAAACTGTAGTAAACGCTGAACGTTATCAACACATCATTCAGAAATGCATCGCTCCATTCCAAATTCTCTCAATCCTCTATTCACGTTCCTCAAAAGATGCTGCGTATGGGGTTGCGCGACTTTTGATACACCCGGTGTAAGCGGTACCTCACTAACCTGCTCAACCAATTCGTCAGTGATATCAGTGTCTTCCAAGTCGAAAGGCTTCACCATTGGAAATATGTTCTCCCATTGCTGTGCCCACATGTTTCCTGTGAGAGAAAAAATGTATAGGAAAAGCTGGCTCAGCCTTGAGATGAAAAATAAGTTATGAATGTCTCACCTAGAAGATGTGCAGGAATAGGGCCTTCTGGATCCACATGCTCTGGTCCATACGCCTCAAATAATTTTGCCCTGGTATATGCATGAACAGCTTCATACAGAGGCTTCACATTCTCCCATAAAACAGCTATATCATCCTTGAAGGTCTCGGAATCGTAGTTCCTTAGCCAAATGTCTCCCATATCATGAATCCCCAGGCTGCCGTCTGGATCTGCAGCATCATAATTAGTCACACTCTACATATTTAGGGGGAAACTGAAATGTACATGTGCCTTTCATTGATGAGGCGAATGACATTCATTCATCCGTTCTCCATGCAATCAATATTTTAAAAGTTGCATTCAGAATTAGCAAGCTTCAGATCACAGATCCTGGTAGGAGATGGAGGACGTAATGGAAAGTGAAGAATAGGTGCACATAAAGAAAGTGCCGATAGGACATGAAACAGGCAGAATGCGTGTTTACGATGTGATTGCTCCCTCGTTTTTATGACTAGTTAGAAGGATGAGGAGCTATGAGGTAAAATTTGGCTCTTGATGTTCTTCCAAAATGAGATTCATAGGTTGATTCCAAAACGGCAGGTCAGTTGGAGTTCGATTTCAGTTTCAGTTCACTGAACTGCGATTGGACTGCGGTTTTGAAATCAGTCATTGGGTCGGCTGATGAATGGACGGCTAAGTTAGCCCCGGGTTGGCTTCTCCATGGGGCTAAGTAGCCCAGGACTGAACTGATCCTCCCATGTCAGTTTATGAATCGAAGATTAAGTTGTAGGTAGCAAATCCCACCTTCCCACTTCTTCCCAAAAATGTCACAACTCCAGGGATCCCCGCCCACCGTCGGGCTGTGCATGCGCTTTCCAGTTTTGCACGTCAGGGCTCTCTCCTTGGTTGCGGTTTATTTGTATCGGACGCTTTCGTGCTATTGAATTTCGATAGTTATTATTAATTGGAACTGGTGGCCCACCCAACATTGCGATTCAGTCAAAAGGTCGTGAGAATTTAATATGGCAGGACAAACAGCTGCCTATTACTTTGGTGGAATCATTCATCCATTGGCGTTAGGCCAATCGACGCTTTTCGGGTTCCTGCAGTGGCAAATGCTGTAGTACAGTGGTTTTCGCTTGAGTTAGACAATTTTTTACTTGACTCCGAAACGCTTGCATGATGTTCCTCAGGCATGATTGTCGAAGTGAAATGAAAGTGTCTAACTCAAGTGAAAAATACCGTAAATGCAGCACTATTTGCTTGGACACGCGAAACCGCTGTGAAAATTCCTCACTCGCATACAGTACAAAAGGATTGCAACTATTCCTGATTTTCGGGACTAGTGGATATCACGTGATATACCTCACCCTTCTCTCTTCTACCAGTGCAGATGATAGAAGCAGATGATTTTGCTGAAATTTTCGGCACTATAGAAGCCGTTATGCCATTGTCGAGAAGCAATTTGGAAATTTGGAAGCCTATCAGAGATGGAATCTAATACTTTAATTGAATGAGGCTGAAAGTTTTGGTGGCTGTCACCCGCCGAGGCCTACGATGCTATGCCATTCTAGGCCACAGGACAGGCCATCCACGGCCTAAAGCGCCAGGCCTACAAGGCTATGCCATTCTAGGTAATAAGCCTTTGGTATACTTTTAATCTTTCACTTTCTAACTTCTCGAGGTTTTTTGAGAATGTTTAGCGTTTGGTTTGAACCGAACTGCTTCATATCTTTATGTAAGCATTTTCAAGTTTCCGTCCATTTGACGGCCAGCGTAGCGGCCGCAGGCCGCTAGTTAAACTAGGTTCAAAACAACTCTACGTCTTCACCATAGGCCATTTAGTCAATACGATTTCGTCATGTTCCAAGGAGACCTCTACCAACGTGCATTGAAAACTGAAGACGATATGAAGCAACCTGAAATGTAAAAAATGTATTCTGAGGATAATTTCAATTTTTCTCCTAAATGAAGAGTTGTGATGAATCTACAGGAAGTAAGATTTTTGGTGGGCTTCAAAAACTACGCTTATTAACGTGCGCTTATTGATGCGTGCAACCTTCTGACGGACCTCATGCATTCACACCAAAGTCTACATTTTAAAAATAAATATTCACTGTGGAAATGCATGGGGAGAATAATTCTAAGCTAATCATGGATGAAATGAGGATCAAGACTAGATCAATTGCAAAAATCCGAAAGGCTGTTATACTTTCGAGATTATTTTTAGACATGACCTCCTATTCCCTTAATTCTAGGGGGAAACTCAGGCAAAATTCAACATAAATTCGAAGAATTTTTTTTTACTTACCATTCGCAACTGCAGCTTCATTGCTAAGTCGGATATAATCCTGGAAGAGAGTGCGAACCTTGGCTCCAGAGGCGGCTCTCCATTGATCCCAAACATACAGAAGTTCTTCTGGATCCGTCGATGTCGCCAAAATCAACTCCAAGTCTACAAAGTATATGCAGGAAAATGTTTCAGAAAGCCTCTTTCGTAATGAAGAGCCTGATTTCTGACACTTCCATAACATTCAGATGTACAGGGTGTCCCGTTAGTCGCTACATCATTTCAAAATATCACATGTAGTAAACAGTTGACACGATATATGTGTACTTCCCAGCGAGATGACCGTTTGCTATGCTAACTTCCTCATTGATTTTCTTGCATTCTGGAGTAGATCTGTCTGCATTTCAGTCACTTTTTCGTTTGGCAAGTATTTTCTTCCACTGCGTCTTCCATCTTGAACAGAACCACTAAATGTATCAACTAGGCGTTTAATGAACAGGAACAGGAGCTACGGGAAAACGCTGAGACAGAGCTTCCTCGGCAGCCGCAATACTACTGAAATAATGTTCAAGCAAAGAAGCCAAATAGTTTATTCTGCAGGCAGTTGCAGAATAAAGATAATCCATTAAGATTTTGCAAACTTTAAACTCTTTGGTCCCGTAACGTTAATGTTTACATGCACGCCTTCCATTCCTCATGGGTATCACGTGCAGTAATGCACAAATTTCCTGAAAGAACTCCAACTTTACAGATATCCTTTTTTAAATATGCCAGATTCTCGCAATTAAATGCCTTCCAATGAAAAAGCATTGGCATCTTCTGAAGGAGTAGCCCAAGAAGCACTATGGTTCCCAAATTCTTTTGGAACTTGATATTCTATAGAAGAACGTCGGAATTCTTCATGAAAAAAAAAACTTGATCCCCTCATCGATGTGGACATGAAGACGTACCCGGTTCCAAAGTAAGTCCCGATTCCTCAAGATCGCAATCTGGTTCAGCCATCGGACACACTCTTGCTGTTCCATATATTGTCTCCATCTCCCCTTGGACCCTTTGGAGCTAATTGAAATCCCAATTGCTGATGTTAGTGAAAGAAAAAATGTAAGCTTGAAATTAAATGCTAATGTTCTGACTCATGCAGTTGATATTTGGGCACCTATGTCCGCTGGGAACACCATTTGTAATTAATATAACATAAAATTTACTTTTATATTAATCAGGTAAGAAGAAATCAGCCTCTTTAACGGTGCCAGACGACTATGAAAGAGTTTCAAGCCATGTATACCTCCTCATAAGTCTCAGCAGAAGCAGCAGCTGCACCAAGAACGGAAAGGAATTTGAACTTCCTTCGTGAAGGAGAACCCTCCGGGAGATCCTCCCAAGGAAACGAGGTGATATTCGTTTCCCACTCAGCCTTCAACCAAGCACCAAGCTCCAGTGAGTTTTCCACCTTCGAACGAAGACCATGTCACAATACAATATAAGAAATACCTGCTAAGGGGGAAGTTTAATTTTTTCTTCAAGGTAGACATTAATAACAAAAAGGTTGCATTGGTTTAATTCGATTTCCCTTACAAAGTGACTTGGCATAGTACTTGTACATCCATTCGAACTTGGGGTCTTTAGTGATCTGCGGTTTTGCACTAATGACTTTTAAATTAAGAAATGGACGGACGGGATGGAGATGATAATGAGTTTCACGGAACTCCAGACACAGGTAGAGATAACCACCGAGTAGATGGAGAAGAGAAATCATTATATCTGTCTGAGACTGATATACACACAGTGTGCATATTTCAGACTCATCTATTTTATGAGAGAGACTACAGTCGTCATCCCCATTTGCCATCCTGGTAGGCTATAAAGCAGCGACAGTTCACCTCCACTTGAAGGCCTTTTGACGCTTTAATGGTCTCTTTCAATCCTATGCCACAACGGATATACTGAAGAAATAATTTGACTTAATCTTGCTTAGTGACGGAAGCATGAGATTTGCACATGTGGAAACTAGTTATTGACCTCACTACAGTAATACCCATGACCCTGGCCCATTTCCCATGGCGGACACTTGCTTCTTGCCCTTCTATTTCAATCCAGTTTCATCTGATCAAGAATGGCTTCAGCACTTCAATTTTGCAGGCTACCAAACCGTAATGAAAAATTCACAAAGCAAGAAGAGACTATTACCACAACGGGTGTATAGAGGCAATCGGGTGGTTTCCAGCCACTTTGGGGAATGAGATAGATGATCCAACTGACAAGAAATTATGTCAATAAGCACAAGTTTAAATTTAAACCAAGATTCAATTCAAGATTTACTTTGCCTATATTCAGCTGCCTCATGCATGCAGAATACAGAGGAATCTAATAATAAATACAAGGGAGGGAGAAAGTAAAAAAACGAGCGAATTCTTCTTTAAACTCAGGCTGGCAAGTTCTCTGAAGAGATCAGCAAGAGCCTAGCGATGCTTCTAAAAAAAATTTTATTTCAAGATTAATCATGGGAAAGGACCATTAAGCATGTCGTCACTGCAGTTGAATGCCATTTCCAAAGAGCTGGCCATGAATTGATACATGGGGTAAATTTGACTTATTGGATTATTGCATAATGAACATCAGACACCTCTCTCTGCTTTTTCAAGCTATTCAGCTCTTCTGGAGAATGTGGAGCCCTACTTGCGTAAGGCATAGATTCCACAGATTGAAATACTGTACTAGGTTTATGCAGAATTTTCTTCCATGGAAGACTGACAAGCGGTAAATGGAAAGCCGAAATTCCTATTGGAAGCAGACTAGCAGGGGTATGATTCCAAGAATGATTTCTTGCTTCTGATGTCAACTACCTAGCATTAGTAGATATTTATTTTGCTTGAATAATAAATGGTACCGCATAACCTTCCAAAGAAAATGAAGTTGGTACAATTTGCATTTTCATAGTTATTCTCTCCTTATATCAATACCTGGATTATTTGTTACCAATGCTTTAGAGGAGAAACTCTAACGTAACCTTTAGGCAATTTAATGAGACAGTTCACCAGTGGAACATGCGTCATTTTCTAACAGATGCTTCGTAATAAAAAAAATAGATGTACAGTACAGTGTTCAGAAAACTTCTACGCACTATTAAATTCATTATTACATATTAGCTGATTCCTTATTAGTGGTAATACTGTCAATGGCAAATTGGTCATTAAAAAAACATAATGGAGCAGGCCTCACGTAATTCTGTGAATGAAATTGTTAAAATTTTGAAGTGGTATTCAAAAACTGAGAGAGTGTGTTAAGTACAACTCATGTGGCGAAGAGGACTCGGGAAACAGCCACCTACAAGATTAGCGATGCCAGAAATCGTGACTAGTTTGATACTGATTCAAAGGAGAAAATAACGAGCTCTTATTAAGAAATCACAGTGGAGATTTATGCTAAATTGCCACTCAGTCCTTCAAAGGTGCCGAGATTGTTAATTGATGGTGGACAATTGGAAAATTCGAGATAATTCGTAATCCAGTCAATATGTACAACCTACTTTATATTGCAACATACAATCGTAGCATTATAAGTGATGTGAATAAACTAACGTGAATTTGAATTTTGTATACATTTTTTCTGCACATAGTATATTTTAATCTTTTCGATGCCTTGTTCGAAAGCACAGCGTCAATCTAGTTGCATCCATTTTCCGTCTGCAGGACAGAATCCGCTACCGTGTGATTCTCTGGAGGAACCTACTCTCTTGAGGAATTGATATACAGACATGAGTTATATTCTGGCCTTATTAGTAGAGAAAATGGTAGCAATAACTTGCGATCATGTTTCACAAGATAAAATAAGAGAGCATATGAAAGAATCTTGAATTTTCTTACGTAATTCTCGAGATTTTCCTGAGTAATGTCGGTCTGGTAGGCCCAAGCAGCCAAAGCATTGGAGTTGCCTCTGCGTGAATACTCTCCCTCATAATAAAGAAGATATTCTTCCGCCTCCTCTTCGAATGATTGCCGTATCTCCTTGCGTGTACTTAAGCACTCATCTGCATTGATTCGAATTAAAAAAAATAGTCCATTCAGTTGAGCACGGAAGTATTTTTTCACCAACAATTTTACACATATCGACAGGAATTTATCTTGAAACATTGTTTTAATTACAAATTAGGATACTTTTTGAAATTACGGTTCTTTTTAAGGATCAGAGGACTCTGCGATGCAGTTTAATCGCCATTCTGTCTTTAATTTTTACAAAAACGCCACGAATCAATAATAGCCCATTAGTAAATGGGCTATTAGCCGACTACTTGGTGCTTCTTAAAGTACAGAGCGCTATATGCTTTGAGAGGCAAACATCTATAGGTCTGCAAAACCCTCCTTGAGTCTGGTTGAAACTCAGTTTTGAGTGTTCGTGAGGAAAGAAAAGTATCCTAAAAAATCATGCTCTGATAGCTTGAAGACAGCAGTGGAGATCATAGCTGGATTCTATGAGGAAATTGGACGTGTGATCGAAAAGTCGAAGCCGAAGAATGCTTACGGTAGCTGCAAATGACAGGAGTTCGTGCGGACAAGTGAGGCGATTGTTTCATATCTTCTCACCCAGTTTTATTTGTCATGACTTCAACCTGTGTTCCACCCGTGGAAACAATGGGAGCATTAGCTGCATAGGTTATGAGATGCTGGACTCAATTGATGTTCGCAATCTGGATGAAACTGCCAGCCGACCGAGAAATTTAGGTTCGATGCTTCCAAGATGTCTCACAAGACCATGAGATTCCCAATCGAAGAAAAAAATTGGGTCTGCATCTCGAAAACTGAAACTAAATATCGCTGCCAACTTTTGACTTACTTTAGTCGCACGACGAGAGAACGACACGGAATTCATAGCACAAGGATTTGATTCCCATGGACGCGACAGGCCTGAATCTCTGGCTGTTACGGACGCAGTGAAAGGTTTCATCGTCTGTCATTGATGAAAGACGTGCTTTGTGTGGTTAACACGAAAAGATAGGCCAGACGTTTTTATTTCTGTTCAGAGACAGAAGTCCAGATACAACTGCCGACGCTCAACCCCTCCAATCGTCCCACCTTCCTTTCATGAGCCTCTGCGTGACTCCCGAGAGCATGCCGAATGCCTCGATATCAGATATGCCCGAGTATCATTATTATTAGGTATTATTATTATCATTATTATAGTACGAAATATTATTAGGTCCATGGTGTATTAAATGGATCTCTTAATAAACTATATTGAAAAAGTTAGGGATATTGTTGTTGCTCTATAATAGGAAGAAGGTTCTTCTGAAACCTGTATCCTGAAAATTAAATAAATAACAGGGAGCTGTTTTCAAGGCAATCTTTCATTTTTGTAAATTAAGACACACTTGTTCATTCTCAAACAATTTTTGGTCTTTACTCATATCATAGAGATTTTATGATATCCCAAACTTTTTTTCTCACAGAGTTTAAAAGAATTGAATCGATGATAGACGGTTCTCATTATAGACGCGACAGTTTGTATCATAAATATTCCTTTGCCTGATGTGGTACTCAATAATCCTAGGATCATAGCATGATTTTCCTCAGGACTTACCTCCCCATCCAAGGCAATTTCCTGCTTCCAGGTTAGCTTGTTCAAGATATTCCATCAAGGGTTGGAAATAATATAGTAGAGACTGAGCAGACATTTCTCTCTGTCCGGTCAGGAGTTCCATTGCTTCTGCCCATGGTTCTGAGTACCCCATACTCAGGGCTTCTCTGGATTGGAGAATGCGAATATATATTTTAAAAATGCATCTAATATTGTTTCAACCTCGATAAAAGGGAACCGACTCACGTCAGCAAGGCTCCAACGTCATGATTTCCATAGTAATCGCACTTGTAAAGAGGTTTCTCTGGGTCGTCAGGATCGAATTCATCAGCAGCTCGACATAGTGCTTCATAAAACTGAAACTGCACGATGAAGCTCACAAAGTACCTGCCGGGAACAAAACGTGCTGATGGGACAATCATGTAATTTCATTGCAGACTATAACTTACTCTCACTCGACACGTTTCGTCCAATAGGCTCTCTAAAGATTTTGAGAATATTCTCCGGAACTCAGTAGTTTTAGACAACTTATAGCTGCCTGAAAATTTTCGAGCAGTATTACCTGAAATTTGCGGCAAATTGTCTCTAAGTTCTGCTGCCCACGAATAGCCCGAAGCTTTCTCAGAAAGGTCGAACTTCGTTGGGATTCAAAAATCTCGTGCACTGAGGCTTCTAAGCAGAAGCGCAATTCCATCAAACAATATCAGTTCCTTGCTGTAATGCTACAGACCATACTGGTAATGACAGTTACACAAGGTACTCAATGCCCAAAAGCCCTGTGGATTGCAAAGCTCAACAGACAAAGCAAAAATACGTGGAGTTCAAAAATGCTGGCTAGCACTTGCTCGATTCAAAACCTATCTGACGGGGGGAAGGGGGTAAAGAAAGAAACAAGAGCGAGGAAATCGAAGAGGATAACTATGACGAAAGATGAATGAAGTTTTTATATAGTTACTTGGGTAACACAGAGAAAATGGCTGCAATATCACAAACATATCGATAAACCGGACGTTTCAAAAGTCATTACCACTGTTCAAACGACCACACCAGGCATGCAGATGATATAGTGTTGTAAAAATTTGCGTGCCGACCAATATGACGATTGCAAAGGCAATGTACATCATAGTGACGCCACATAGGTATGGGTAGGAAAGCCATCGTCGCGAAGCCTAAAGCAGTTTCCAACGAGCTGATGAAATGCTTGAGCAGTCTTCATGCATGGTAATGCTTCATTACACATTGCCAACCTAGTGAATCGTATTCCTTGGGCTACGTCGGGAACCGAGAGATCAGCCAATACCTTCAACCAATTTGACACGTGAAACCATTCTCCCAATATTTGCAGGCGTTCTTCTACATTATGACATGAATACTGCCGTTGCCACTACAATTTCCAATGAAGAAGATCTGGCCAAGTTCTAGGAAGCCGTCTGCACTCTCAGTTCCTTCGCTGAGTAACGAGGTCTCCATCTGAAGACTTCAAAGATGCACAAACTTGTCATCGACTTCCGGAGAGCACGACCCACTCAAGACAACCGACTGCAAGGAAATCCAACGCAGCGACTATATCTAACTTGGGATGATCAAAAGTTCTAAGACTGAGGTTCTTCCAGTTGCAATACACGTGTTTTGCTCCTCTCGGAAGGGGGTAGATGTCTTTGATGTTGATTGGTTAAATTACATTTTATTTGTCAATCAAGGATAGTTTCAAAGCTTTTCTTTAACGTACTGTCAAAGGGTCTGCCGAATGGCTTTTAATATTGAGAGAAATCCAATGATTAATTTTCTAAGTTCTATGAAGACTTCTCTCCATAGTTCTCCCGGCAGATCCTTCGGCAGCTAAGTGAATACTGATACTTTTTATCAAAGACATCTATCTTCTCATGAGAAGAGTAAAAGAGGTGCATTACAAGTGCAAGTGCCTCAGTCTTACAAATATTTGATCACCCCACGTATATCTGGGGATAATTTGCCAAGAAGACCTGAAATGGAACCAGCCAGTGAGCAAATAACGCTCCCACGAGAAAGTATTTTATTCCCTAAAAATCCTAAAATCAATAAGTGCTTCCAAATCGCCCCAATGATCTGACAACTCCTGAGTTTTTCTTAGAGAGCACCGTTCGAGCGATTCTAAATTGAGCCCATTTCATAGCCCTAAGTGTTCCTTATTTTATGCAGGATGCTTTGCAAGTTTTCATGGAATACGAGACAAACATTTCTGGGTGGATTAAAGAAATAAGAAAAACTATGGTACCTGACATAGGGAACGTTTGCAGGGACATGATATTTAGCACCAGGATCGAAGTGCTCCTCAGTCCTTTCCACGGGAGGGGAAAGTCCTTGAATACCTGTTCGCAGTTCCCACCATCCGGCGTTCATATTCTCGCTCGTTATTTCTCCTTTGAACAGCTTCCTAAAAAGAGGGTCAAGACACAGGGTGCGGAGAAAATGACGTTTCGCTGTTGGAAAGTTTACATCTGAAGATCGGGAAAAGCTACTGCTGTGTATGTCCCAACAGGTAGGCATCTAAATGATTTCTACTTCTTGAATTTATCTTCAGAACTTTTCCTCTTCTGGTATAGCTAAACATACGCCTAGAAGTTCGCTAGTAAAATATTTGTTTATATCTTTGAGTCCAAGGAGATTAATCAAAATTGATGCACTATGGGACAACCTTGCGCTTGGAAGAAATCATTGAGCTGAGGCTTTTACGCAAAAATCGCTCTTGAAATGAAGTCTGGGAAATTTTTTGTCCAAAATACTCTTCAATCCTGTTCTGTATACATTAAAAAACTGCATGATCACATCTGACGCGATAGACTAGTTGCAGCAAAGAGATCGAGCGCAATGGTTTTCTTTCTTGGGCGAGAAGCACAAAAACGGGCGAGGATTTAAAAAGAATGTTAAAAAATCTAAAACCTTCAAAACGTTTCAGCCGCTATACTGGAAGGGAAAATGTTCATGTCAATTTTTTTTTCTTACAAGACGTAGATCCATTCATCCAGTGACATAGATTACTGAATAAATGAACGATTACCCTCTGTAAAAATTGAAAATCGGTGCAGTTTTTTCTTCGTTTCCAGTGTTAAAAACTTTTTGAGGAGAATTCACGAAAACAGTTTTTCTCTTGAAACTTTTAAACCAGAATCTGTTTCCCATGTTTATTAAAGGGTTGCATTCCATTTATTCATGAGGTCTCCATCACGTGAGCATCACATCAGCAATCCAGGGATTATTGCATTCGAACCAGGTGACCTGTCATTTTCCATAAAACATATGACGCATTCACCTTTATTTGATAATCAATTAGATTGTTTTGGCCCTTGTATCTTAAGATATAGAAAGAATTGCAAAATGACAGGGAAAAATAGAGGTTTGAGTAGAATATACTTCAGTGACTTCTTGCTGTCAAGAAGATTTGCTTTTAAAATCTTCTCCATAAACCAACTCCATGAAACTCAATATCTTGCACACACACCTTAACTATTTTTAACTGCAGCAACGTATTTCTAATAATGTATGAAAAAGTTACAAGGTTGGACACTCATCATACTTCATAACTTGAGACCATTTTGAGTGAAATTTGTCGAGTCAAATTCTGTTGTGACGAGCTGCAAGATGCGTTAATGTTAGCCCAAACCTCTAACTGTGCCGCATTTCTCTCCAGTGTCTTACAAATGTTGAATCTGGACAGGCAATCATCTATTGTGATACAACCTTTTCGAATGAACACATTTATTGGATAACATTTTTCAAAGCGTGTTTAATGGTTTTTGAAAGTCGATAAAAGTTTTGCAGACTTCTTCACAGACAAGCTATTAAATTACTTAAACTTAAAAAAAAAAATTCAACTTAAAAGAGCACGATCCTGTTTCCTCAGCCTTCTTGGATCAGCAAAACTAACGGTAATATTTTCCATATGCTTAACCCTTAACAGGTTTGTTTCTCAGGGGTGTCTTCGACGAGCGCGCACATCTCTGAGGAAATTGCATGGCATTCTTTGTTCATGTATTTACTTGAAAATATTTTGGCGAGAATCAAAAGTGGAGACCAGAGAATGTCTTTTTTAAAATAGAGTTTAGGCATATTCCCCATAAATATAATGGCACAAAAGCAGTTTTCTTGGTCGATGTTTAGTTTAGTTTAGTTTCAGGTGAAAGTGCGTTGTCATAAGTACCAAACATGAGTGATAAGATCTTGCCCATATTAAAAACTTGTGAATTGAAAAAGGATATGGTGAAAGGAAAATTTCGAGTAAATTTCGAAACAAAAATTGGTCACGGAGTGGGCTTGAATATGTCATCCGAAAATTTGATGAATCTGATGGTGAAATTTAAGGTTTAAATTAGAAAAATGAACACTTAATTTTTGTTATCTGAAGTAAGTTAAATGCCATTTTCACCCTTCTTGGAATTTTGATTTTGAACTCGGCACACAAATTCGAATTGAGTTACCTAATATGTCTATCAAATTTTATCATAATTGGCTTGCTACAATCAGACTGACATCACCAAAAATTTTTTTGGCCCATCCTGTGCAAGGGTGCTCCAGAAGTCTGGACTCATAGGTGAAATTCCTCGTGAAATAACTGACATGCCTCCCTCTGGCTTTTTCTGGAATCATGTTACAACGCCAGTTTCACCTTCTCTTGATTGGTATACTGAGCCATCGAAGTATTTTATTTCCTGAAATATGTAAAACCAACACTAGAAATGAGTTTGACTTTGAGAATATAATGTCTATTTTCCCTAGGGGTCCAGGCTTCTGGAACACTGTATATTTGAGAAAATATAAGCAACAATACACACTAACCGTGGGCAGCGCCTTTGTAGACAGCGTCTGGTTAGAGCAAATTTTTTTCCATGGCAACCATAAGAAAAAGCGCCAGAGGTATTTCAGCTTAAATGCTCTAATTTTATGAACTTGGGTTGCGCGTCCGATAGGTATTTGCTTCATATTCGATAGGTATTAAGTTAATTTGTCTTACCCTGGAGACTGGAATCATCATTCATCATGGGTTTCCAAAACATCTGGTCGATCTCTAATGTCGGATGGGTTCCGAAAGATTAACTATGATATCTCAATATTAAAAACCAACACTGAAAGGAAAATTCCTGAAAAATATGGACTGCAATCGTGGAAGAGAAACTGCATACCAGCGGTAAAGATCGATGAGGTATCCAAAGGGCAGAAATGCAACCTTATCCATGGCGGTGCCAAATAAGAAATTGATGTCAGCTTCGTAACTTTCTTCATAATCCGGTCCCAGCAATCCGACCGCTTGCAGATGCTTTGGAGTTCCCACTGACAAGGCCAATGTATCTCCCAAAGCTTCATGGAATCCTACAATCAGAAGCAATGTCTTCGAATGAAAATCATAAAGACTCTTGATTGAAAGATCAGTATTCTTGATAGATACCAATAAAATAAATTTCACTTCGAAATCTGTTATTCTTAGTTCTTTATATTATGCCTATCCTTGTTGGCATTCAAGAAGAAACAACATGTTCATACAATTTCCTGAGACTTCTATGTGCGAGGTATGGAGAAAATTTTCTCAGCAGCCGGTTGAATTGCACGATTAAATTTAATGGACAGGTGAAGCTATTCCACTAAAAACAAAAGAATGCAGTTGAATTAACTCAACTGCGCATTAGGAATATAAAATATACATTTGTAGGTAATGTTCTGTTAGAATTCCCTCGACCTGAATAAAAGTTACTGGAAAGTCTACAAATGGGTACAAATGGATATTTAGGGAGACGACCTTTAAAAAAGTTGACAATGGAAAAGGAAAAATAAAGAATTTTCAAGATTCAAGAAGGATGTGAGGGTGTAGAACGATTTTAGATATGTCACAAATAGGGACACAGAGTTATAAAAATTTAAGCATGACTTCGCAATCAAGATCTCTTGTTATTGGGAATGTGAAAGGTTGAAAATTCACTTGCCTGGATTAGCGCCATCTCTGAAAATATGTGGTTGATCTCGATATTGCATGAAGTATTGGATATGACCCATTTCATGATGAACAGTCACAAAATCGTCCATATTCACCTCAGTGCACATCTTTATCCTGGGATGAGTAGAATTAGTATTATTCATAGAGAAAATTCCATTGATGTCGAATACCTCTGAGCCAGACATGCGTATAATGTAAGAAATCAACGCTATCACCTGACCATCCCGAATATATTTAGAATAAATTGGTTGAATAGTAGGGGTTTCTTTAACTAATCCACATTTAATTCCAACTCTCTACGTCAAGTTCTTTCTGAGTTGCAGCGAATTGATTTTTTTTCAATTCTCTCAATTCGATTAATTTAATCGACCGATTAACCTATTAAAGAATTAATCACGATATAAAAAATTAGTTGAAATTAATCGAATTTTAATCTCCCCCTAATCTACCTCTGAATGCCTCTTTTTCCGCTTATAATTTTACAATATAATAATACTATATTCGATTAATCGGTCGATTAATTTAATCGAATGAACAGCACTAGTTTTTATGCAATTCAGTGGCAATTTCAGTCCATTTGCTGTATATAATTGTTCTTACTTCCTGAGCCTATGGCAGTCACATATCAAAACTTGGTGCATTGAGAGACCATATCGTTTTAATTTTCTTGTTAATTATCTTTCAGAGAATAAAAATATTTTTTCTTACGGAATTCAATATCAAAGGACGAGATGAAGAACCACTGACCTTTGTTTTTGCTCGAATTTCCGCTTAAAAAATTCATTTAAAAGGGCATAAGAAGATTTTGAATGTGAAATCAGTTTCAGCTTTCTATGTTGATTAATGTAGTATGAAGCCTATGAGCGTTTCAATGATCACCACGACCCAAAAATCGGTCAATTTTGCCAACATTCAGTCGTTGCACCTCAAAAATACTTGACCTAGAGACTTACATTTGACTGGGATTAGTTTTTTAATAGTGCCTACGAGTCCACCAAATTCCATAAGAATCACAGCGTTCAGGTCAATTTTCAATTTTTTGATGACATAGAAAGGAATGACAACCAATTTATAATTGAACTTTCAGGACGCCCTCACCTGAAATCTTCGCTTCCGGGTCCGAGACAAAAGTCTTCCGCAGATGCATGGCATACAACGTCACGACCGTCGTCCGGCTTCTCAATCATAGACTGACTCCAGAAAGTCTCCGTCATTTCCAGCAAACCAAGGGAGGTGAAGAACTCCTCAGACAGTTCAAAAATTCTCTGTGCGTCATACCCCTATGCAGAAAATAATGAAAATGAACCAAGAATGCCATACCAATTTTTTTTTAAATTGTGGATCTGAAGAAAGACAGCCAAAAAAAGACCCCGTCCAAGGAAATGGTAGACAGACAGTTATAATGCACGGTGTAACGAATTTCCCAGGAATTCATTAAACATGACATACTTGTTCCAACATCTCTTCAGTGACGTCGACATCAGGGGCATCTGGGAACGGGAGCATACGACTGGCAATATTGCCCCATTGTTGTGCCCACATGTTTCCTACACACAAGAAAATAAAAAAACTCAGTTTCTGAAATGACCTGTCCATCTCATAACTAATCTCAATCTTTCAGCATTTGGTGCTAAGGACATTTTGACGAATACATGCATAGTATGGAATGGGTGTGCCATGAAAGTAGTACAGGTGGCATGGTTGATGAAACAGAATGGCATACATCCTTCGGGCTTACCAAGAAGATGAGCAGGGATAGGGTCTGTAGGTCCGATCTGTCCTGGATAGAGTTCTGACAATTTGTTTCTCACGTATGCATGCAGTTGGAGGTAGAGTGGCCTCACTTCTTCCCAGAGAGAACCAATGCTCTCCTGAAACTCCGAAGCGGAACTCGAATCATATGGAGCTACCCACATGGCACTCGCATCCTCGAAACCTTTTGTATTGGAAAAATATACACATTCGTTTCATACTTTTACTTCTTTAATCATGAAATACGATGGGTACCAGCACCCTTACCATTGATCTCCGCCGCCTGATCCAAGAGAGAGACATATTCCACGTACTGATTCCTTATTTTAGCACCAGATACTTCTCGCCAGGCTTCCCAGACGTATGCCAACTCGTCATAGTTAGTTGACAAAGCCATGATTTCCTCCAAAGCTGCACACGCATTCATTTCACACTTTTCAAACTTAAAACATTTTTCAATTGTTTTCAAGTTTTATGCCCAGTCTACAGCGAGCCATATGATTCCTCGAATGCCTCTTTCTGAAGGATGTGTCATGACTCCAGAACCGCGTACCCCTAGGTATTTCTGCATTCTTTAATTAACATATTTCGCAAATAACCTAGTAGATCTCAATGCGACGTGAAATTCAGTACGCATATCAACAGGTTGGGATATCTCCCATTCCAATGAATGAAATGTCCTCCTTCTACTTATTTTGTGACAATCTTTTTACGACCTCTTCATATGTGACCGTATTCACCACTTGTGTTCATATGGGTGAGTATACTTTCGGTGAAGGGTTAGTTATATACGCCTACCTCAATTTGAACAGCTGGCTGGCACCATTCCTATTCACCCTCATTATGTCAATTGATAAAATTTAAAAAACATTTTTATTTTTATAGGTATCGAGACATATGTCATAGGCCTCCTACCAGGTTCCAATGGGAGAGTGGGAGTGCAATCTGGGTTCCCAGACTCTTCAAATGGACAAATCTTCGCAGTCGCATAGATGTTCTCCATTTCACCAAGTAATCCCTCGAACTGATAAGGGAAGTCGGAAAAATTCGCAGCAATTTTCAACTGTCCTAGGTAAAAAAAAAAAAACTCGAACACGTTTGTGACTGACTTGCAGAAGCTCCTCAGACGGCAAAGCCGAAGTGCCAGCAACCCTCAGTTTTTGGAATCGCCGTCGAAGAGGCTCCGAAAACGTCTCCCAATTGTCGAATTCACTGCTTGTAACGTTTTGCCATGCAGATTTCTTGAATTCGGCATAGGCGACGTTTGCCTCCTCCTGTTCATTCAACATGTAAACATCGTCATAAAAGAAACAGATCGACAGATACACAGTCATATGAACCATACGACAGGAAAATGCAAAAAAGCAAAATCAAAATAGAGTCTATTTTTGACGAACCATCGCTTCCAGGTGTTCTTCGGTCGCATCGGTGATGTAGTCCCATCTGGCAACCATCTGTTTATTACATTCGATGGAATACTCTCCATCGAGTAGATCCATAAAGAGCTGGGCTTCCTGCTCCGTAGCCCGAGGGTCAGGGGCACCGGTGATCCCGGTGACCCCTACCGCAATAAGCAGCACCTCTGCCCACGACACCATCCTCGATGCTAATGCTTGAACCTTGGGACTTGGAGCGTCTATCCATCCCATCCCTTATCTATTGCACTCGTCACGCTCCATCCACGTCTAGGGATATATTTTTCAGTGGTCCAGAACGGGAATTTCATCCCCGGGAAGCGTGGGAAGGTGTCGCAATCGTGCCACATAGTGGCACGATTGCGACACGTATAACGTGCGCACATATAGCTACAGAAATAGAACTATGCAGCTCAAACGTGCTCGAATAGGAAACGAATACGTGTAACTCGCATAACGTCGAGATGAGAATGCGAAAAATTATTTCCCGCTATTTCTTCTCACGCATGAAAGACACGCCACTGAGTGGGTAATATCTATCAGGAATAACTACTCAATGAATTCAACTGACATATCTACCTCTCCCATGCAAGGAGAAGTAACTTACCAGGTCCCAATTTGAGGAGAAGGGCATTTGCCATAAGCTGAGCGAGGAAGAACGAATAATATCTCAGTTCACACCGTCGGAGCGCTTCCAGGAGCGGTAGACAGCACTCATTTGCATGGGAAACCAAGGAATATCAGGATTCCGAGGAACAGCGCGCTTGCCATGGCAACAAGGTCAACAGGAGTGTGCACTATATGGACTACACTTGTGAGCAGCAGACGGGACGAGCAGACCGGATGTAGAAGTGGCAAGGTTTCATCTTCATCAACGGTTTCATTTGCCAAAAAGAACACCATGCGTCGACTTCTAGATTGGTTAGAAGTAAATAGATAATGTCATGGTTCCCATTAATAGTGTTGTGAATAAGTTCCTATTTGCCTGAATGAGTGCATGTGAAATCGAACCGAGCTGGTGTAGGGCAGGCAGGAGGGACAGGGAAGATGAACTCAAATAAGCACTGGGCTTTATGCTTTGTGTTCACTGGCACTCATCCCGTTCCACTTATTGCATACCGTATATAGATAGTGATGCATGATACGAAGGACTACTGCGGAACTTCGTGCAAATACAAGTTCAACAACAGAGCTTCAAATAGATTTTGATGTAGAGAAAAAGAGGTACTCACCACAAGAGCGTCTCCCTCTGGCAATAGAAGCCTTCCGGAATGATATTGACCCAGTACATCTCCCATATCGTGGAACTTATGGAATCTTATAATTCTCAATCTTGCGGGATTCTTTACATTTTCGAAACCGCTTATGCCAACTTCGTGGGTTGCGACTCGACCAGACCCATGAGCATCTTCCAGGGCTTGGGATCTTGGGAAACGGGCTCAAGCTCGGGAGGCATGCGGGAGACGAATGGGTTCAGGATCTCTCGATCCGAGACCAGGAGGTTGGCTGACTCTGAAAGAAGGAAGCCTGTTTAATGGCGATGCAATTTTTATATTGCTTTGAGTAAATTCAATTGATTTCCAACGTTACGGAAACCAATTCAGAATGAATATGACTATCCCTAGATTAGAGTGAGATATTTCATTTGACTCACATCAGAGAAGACAAACCTGAGACAGACAGCAGGTCTGTAATAAAAACACTGCAAGAGCTACTTCCAATTGTGCCCTCTTTGTGTGAATACAGGAAAAGTGCATCTGTGATACTTTTTTAAATACTTTTTTGACAACAGAAGCTTGATTGGAATTCACTTGCAGGTCGTATTAAAATATTTGTTCCATTTCATTTTGTTTCAGTTACAAAAGAATTTGGAATCATAAAAGTGCTAATTCATTCATATCCCTAATAATTAGAATTTCCTCAATTGGGACATTGATATTGATGATTCCAAACATTTAATACATTTCATTCCAAACATTTAAAACAATCTGATTTCCTGATGGGGCTCATATTAATGCAGTGGGAGGGTAGAACGAAAAATCCTTAGTCCTCTGGAGTTGATATGACAGATATTTCCATCCTATTTCACAATTTTTTATGATTTATCTGCATTAAAAACTTTCCACTACAATAGAACAATATGAATGTAAACTGAAAAATTGTTCAAAACACGAAATCAGTCTACTTCAGTGGAAAAAAAATACCCATATGTGGTAAACATGGGGATTGAAAACTCCCCACTTGATAGATAATATTGTCATGCAATCTCATTTAACAACCTTTGGCAATAACTTTTACCAAGTCCCTTTGATAATGTCATAGCAGAGCACTACTGCCCAAAATTGTCTAAATTCCATTCCCATGCATTTGCATTCATAATAGCTGACTGCTCTTAAATTTCTGTATATCTGGTAGATAGGAACCCTTGCACTGGAATTCTCCAGCTTCCTGATAATGATAAGAGAAATCTTCCTTGTGTTATTTTTTTTTTAAAGAGGAACTTCTTACATCTGATTGGGATCATCATTATTGGATGGAGAAATATCGGTTGAGTGCAAATCACTTGCAATTGCTGTTCTTTCACAGAGCAATTCCAGAGGCCCACAACCATCTTTCACTCCTTTATGGGCTTAACACTTTGCATTGACTCATTTCTCTGTTGTAACATTTGAGGAGTTCTCTGGAAAAGGGGTGTACAGTATGTGCCCATATGCCCTTTTTCCATATCTGTGTGCATGTGCTGCTTTAGGTGACTAGTCATAGGATAGTGTGGTCAGCTAGTAGTTAACATGTATATTCAGTAAAGGAGAAGCAGAATTTTCCTATACTTTCATTATATAGCAGGCCAACTGCCTAGTAACTTCAATATGGTTGCCTCCATGCATATTCCATTAGCACTTGCATGCTTAACGATTTTAGTGGAATTATTTCGTCCTTATAAACTGAAAATGAGGAAGAAACCAGACATGAGGAAAGGGAAAGAGACCCAGTCATTCAAGCCACTGGAAGGATGTGAGATGTTGAAGATATCCATGAAATAGTTGAAGATTCAGATGATGAATACATCAATAATGGATCAATGCTGTGTAACTGGAGCATGAAACATGTCCTGAATATTAAAATTTTCATTGCTGTTTTTCAAGAAGGAGTTTATTTGAAATCTGTTGATGCATTTATTGATTAATTATTATTTTAACTAAAAAAAAGTGTTGAAAGACTCGTTGGAAAAAGTTTCAGCAATGCAGATATGGAAAAAGGGCATATGTGTAAAAACACTTTCTGCATCCCAGCAATGAGAGATAAAGAAATTCATTTAAACCCCAAGTTCAATTAGAAAAAGGTCTAAGATACCATTTTACTGATAATTAAGTTTTGACCAGCTTCAGATTAGCTATGGGAAGTTTTTATCATTTATCTCAAATTGCTTCTTTTGTGCATATGCCCTTTTTCTAGAGAACTCCTCATTTCTTGGACTGGCTATTGCAATGACTTTCAATTGCTGGTATATGTACCAGTTTGGTTCTTTTTTTCTTGTCTTTGGTAAAGGTCAAATTGAAAAGAGAAAGAAAGCAAAATAGGGGAGATCTTGCTGGGCAGATTAGCCCTTAACAGTACACAACTTCACAGCATTCTAGCATACTAACACTTGACTGCTTTTTCAATTAGTCTTGCTGGCACATTTGATATCTTTGTCTGTTAGCCTGGAACAGCTAACTGGAAAAGAAGATAATCACTGGAATAATTTACTTCTTTCAGGTAAGGATTCCTTCCTGTTAAAAGGTCTCATCATCCAAAGCTCTGGAGCTTCATTGTCTCCCAATATAATTTTGGCATGAAAAAATCACATCCGGTCCTTTCCAGTATCAGCATTTAACTGCCATTTCTCAAACTCACTCTACAAATGAAGTAAATTGAGGAAAAAAAGAGACATTTATTCAGAAACCTTGCATTCTACTTGATTCACTGGTATTAGTTGGTGATGATCTTGCGAAAGGTGAGATTTATTCTTGGTTGTACTGCTCTCTTTCTTGGGGGCAAGGAATGATACCAGAATGTATTTGTTGGTGGATTCATCAACAACAGGCTCCCATGCTCCAGCATCAAAGTCACTGGTATATAAAAAATATATATAAATGTATATGAAATCCAGAGAATAAAAATTAACCATGGAGAACCATAAAGCTTGCCACTAACAGAGTTGGCATGTGAATTGGAGACCACTCATTGCAATAAAGAGGATGAGAAAAGCATGCCCCCCTTACTACACACTTTCCACAATAGTGGAAAGAAGTTATGTATGAAATTAGAAGAGATTTAGCACATTGAATCTGTTCTAAGCTAGCCCAAACTTGATAGGTGAAAAGGTTAGTTATACAAGCCCACTGATGCAATCACCTCACCTAATGACACAAACACAAGTCTGTGTATGCCATACCCAAGAGCGAAAGGGCAAGGTGTCTCTCCTTTGTCACCTATTTTGATGACAAAAATTTTCTCCAATTTGAAGGAAATTCATGTCTGGCATACAGGGTAGGCCAAAAATATTCATAACACTTGTAGCTTTTCTATTTATGTTCACCTAAAAACAGCAACAAAAAAAAATGCTTTGTACCACTATGACAGTGTCTCTTTGGTGGTCATACTTGGCTGTTTTATACATGAATTCTCTTCTGCCTAGAAATGGCTTCAGGTTAAAAAAAATTGTCTGGCTGACCATGAAGCTAAAATGGTAAAGAATAAGAATAACTCCCAAAAAACTCTGACTGTAACACCAAACTGATTTCTGTATGCGATGTCTGCTGGAAGCAAGAAGTGCTCATAAACAAAACCCAGCAATCTGAACCCGTTAAGGTTCATGCTGAAAGAGAATTGAAACTATGTCTGTCCAGTATGACCTGCCATCAAGCAGAATGGGGACACATCAAACATATTTTGTGAATAGTTACTGTGAGCCCTTGTTTATTGTCAAGATTCAATTGATTCCATGAGAAGTTATTAGTACAGGAAAACAAGACTTCCATTATGTGTGAATATTTATGGCCCACCCAGTATGCACCAATAACAATTTAGCAGATTTATACTCAAGATAGTAAGCTTCATCTGATCAGCTTGATTTATTAAACTCTGAATGTGGATACGTAATAGAAGGTTTCTGCTGAATTTGAAAGAAACTCATACCTTTAATCACAGCATATGCTCAAAATGGCTCCCACATTCTCAGATGCAAACATGCAGCTGCAATTGCCATTCCTGAATTCCTCCATTGTGACACTCAGCTCCAGACGTCCTTTGCTCTCTTATTGTTCAAGTTTGAAACAGTATAGCACATGACACATTGGGTCAACTGCCTTCAAATTTGGTAAAAACCTTCTTTCTTCTATCCAAATACAGATTATGAAATATTAGATTGATCAGATAAAAGTTACCATCATTCCTACAAGAAACAAATAGGTGCAACTTTTTTTTGGATCATATATTTCAAGTCATGGATCCAATTCAAGGTGAAAGGGATATGGAATGGCATCCAATGGAATCCCTGAGACACAAATAAAATTGCATCTCATTGAAAATCAGTCCACATGCTTTCAGGGAATGCATTCATTAATACACTTCCTACACCTATAAAAACTGTACATATAGTCCAATTTAAAAAATCCTTTTTGCTAGTAAAGCATAAAGGAATAAAAAATAATCTCACCACAGCATGAAATTTTCATCTAGACAGAGATTACACAACCAAATCTGACTTCACCTGGTTCATGGGGAATCGATCTGGCTTTTTGCCGCTTTCGAGAATCCTGATGCCGAAGGACGAAGTCCCGTGGCTGACCCAGGGAAACAGAGGCAATTGGGGCAGCTGGATCCAAGTCCTTCTCATCATCCCTGTGCTCTCCTATTCGATCATTCCCATCCTTGTACCTACAGAGAATATTATAGTACACGATGATAACTTACAGCAAATATCAAAAGTCTCTTGAAGCCAACACACATGCACATGCACACACAAATTCCCTTTCTCACAGCTTACATATATTCTCATGTTTCAATTCCAAAACCTATTCAGGTCCTTCTCAGGGACTTTTAAAGTCCATCAAATTCATCTACAATGATGCAGTACTATTGTAATTCTAGAAGAATGTGATAGCAGGTCTTGTTTTCCATGCGGCCAGTACAGGGGGTGTGCCATTATTCCTGCACCCCCAAAGACTAGGCCAAAAATGCAAATACAAGACCTAGGAACTCTCCAAGACTATCTGCATCCATATGAAATTATGCAAGAGGCAACCTGAAACATAATCCAACGTGTTTCATGTAAGCAGTAAATTTCCCCCGACTTTACTATTTTCATGTATGCTATGCATATAACTGCAAGAGAAAACTTAAGCCAATACGAGCAAAACCCTGACTGTAGTATAAGCTTTCCAGCTTCAAAATATAGCAATGGCCTGAGCCCAAATTCACTGACTAGTTCATAGTGAATTACATGGGATTACTAAATAAACTGAAAGGAACAATGTCTTTCCAGATATTTGCAAATATGAACTGTCATGACTGTCAGCCTTAGAAGGCTTCCAATCTCCCCATCACAATAATATAAACAAAAACATTAACTCAATCCCTTTGCAGAGCCACTTACTTTCTGAAACTCATGTTGCTAAACCATAATAAGAACAGTAAGGGCAGAGTTGGAGCAAGATGCAAAGATTTTTCATTAAAATTTTGGCACTTATTTCCTTAAACTTTTGTGCTTCCCAGGATTTCATCAGCATGAGTGATGCTATTCTGTTATTTCCTAAGAACAAAAAAGTTAAAGTGTAGAAGCTAGAAATATCATAATTTCGTTACCTATTGTCATAGGTAATTCACCTCACCACACTGACATACAGAAAATGCAGGACTTGAATGAGATTCACCTCTCAAGAAGAACATGGGATAGAAAGCCCCATGTCTTCATGGTCAGGGGTTGTATTCTTCCTTCCTTCTTAGCATAGTGCTTCGCTGGTACTTTCCCCATTCAAAAGTATGACCAAGGTTGAGCAATTTGCTGTACTCAAGTCTAAGATTTAAATAGAATTATTGCTCCAGATCTTCTGCTCCAAAAATCTACTTTCTTTGTTTTTTGGTTGAGAGCTGATTGCTTTGAAGACTTTTAAGCTTTGATTGAAGAAAGAGATACAATGACAAGGCAGAGGAGTCAATGGTACTCTGCGATATCATTAACACTCATGCCTACATGTCTTGTTTCATTTTGGAAAAAAACAGACTGGATCTCCAATCTGGTGCAGTCAACATAGTGTGGGCTGTTCTGGGGGTTTTGAAACACCAAAACATTAAACTATATCATATCCTTCCAGAAGGGGAGTATCAGACTCATAATATGGTACTCAACAAGGGGAATTTAAGGGGACTTAGATTTCATCAAGGTGTGATTCAAGTGCATCAGTTCAGTTGTAGCTTAAACATATTTCTTAAGGACCTAGTTAGAGAAGCAACGTCTCCACAACTTCAAGTTTTTTTTTTTGCAGCTTATTTCAGGCTAGGAAAGGATTCCTGTACAAGGGCTGCACAAAGTGACACACACTGAAAACTTTTAAAATATAATTTGTGAGAAGACATTGAATACTCATTTAACTTATGATACCTGTTGATGAGCACAAAGTTGAATTCAGTACAGGCAATGTGAGAGACAGCATCACAGAGGGCCTTGAGAAGAGGAGTCCATGGTTTGGCTGGAACGGTGATACCCGAGAAGCGATAGGTCAGGCCTGTGTCTCCATAAGCCACCTGTCCCAACCATTTTTGAGGAGGAATTCCATTAGCCAATATGCAGAGTGGCCCAAAAAAAACCTGGATCCCTGTCCTTAAGAATTTTTTTATTTTTAATATTTCAAGATTGATCAACCAAATTTATTGCATGCAAACTTCAATCTACCTTTGGCTCTCAATAAAAAATTGGCTATGTTTAGACAAAGGACTGTGGAGAAATAGAATTTTTAAGAAGGCACTCTGAATTTTTACTGCTCAGAAAGCACAACACATACTGTTGTCAATGCATCATGGCAGCTGACCATCAATCCTTTTTTCTGACCCTGTGGCATCATCTACTCCAAATATCACTTATTTAAAAAAAAAGTAGAAAAATTAAAGCAAGGTTGCATTGAAGAGATACTTGAAGTGCAAAATCCATCCAGAAAAGCATGCTCATTGTTAGTGACATACTCACACAGTTCCATCAACTTTCTTTCTTTTTTTTTATTTCCCCAGATTTGCTTTACTGGACTAGTTCTCTTCATTATTGCCCCTGAAGATTGTTTCCAGATGCCTATTTCGAAGAAAGACCGAGTAGCCATTGAAGTGCTAAGGAGAGAAAAATGCTGGGAGCAAAGAAAATGGAAGAGTTCCCTGATAAAAACTGGAGCATCTCCAATATTAACTTGGTTTTGCAAAAGATTGATCAAGCAGGCACCAGTGATCAAGTGATCAACAAGCTCTCAGCGATAAGTAAATTGCACAATTGATGTTTGGTGGAACAGATTGGAAAGTATTATTGAAAATAGGAGATGTCTTTGAATATTTGCAACTATAGAACAACAACAAAAAAATTAAGCATTTTCATTTCCTTCTGGTACCCTTTAGTTCTGAACAGCGAAAATTCTGATTGCCTTCCTAAAAAAATGTATTCCTTCATAACTTTTTGTTTAGATGCAGCCAAATTTTGCTTGAAAGTCAAGAATTGATAGGAGTTTGCCTACAGGAAATGTGGCTGATCTATCTTGAAATATATGATATTCAAAATTTCTGAAAGACTGGGATCCAGTTATTTTAAGCCACCCTACACATGCGTGGCTGAAAACAAAAGTACGATGTATTGGTGTGATAATTCTTGACCTATCAGTGAGAAGCCAGAGTACCATAGAAGATCATCCTCTCAGATCTGAGACTTACAGTCTTACTGTTGCCAATCCTGACAAGAACTAGAATGAAATGCAATGAACCACTCACCTGTTTCCTGGGGATGGGATGCCACTTCCCGTACACCCTGATCTGGGTAAGTTCTCCAGAATAGTACTGGGTGGAGCTCTCTAAGGAGGCAAAGAGAAAGTCAGCCTCCTGCTTCCCTAGCACCACTGCATAGGAAAGGGAGAGGTTATCGGCTTCCTTCAGCTGCCAGTGGATGTCCTGTCCATTGAGCCTCCTTAGAGCCTCCACCATGCTCTGCTCAGTGACCTCATCAAGCTCTTCTGCTTTTGGTACTGCTCTTATCGGACCGACATCAACGGCTCGTCCACGTTTCCTCTTCAATGTCGGCCAGCAATCCTGAGTGGTACTTGAGTGCTTCATGACGCCATCATTCAATGGTAACTCACTCCGTCATACCATGCTTTCACCTGAAGAAGACTGCAAGTGCATTAAAAAGCTATATTTACCATGTGAAAAGTGGAACCTTTACTTGGAAAACTGTAAAGCTGGGCAATTTGAAATGTGAAAAAACTTGAAGCTCAACCAGACAGGATGAAGATGATGGTATTGATGAAAAGGGACCCATGAATCAAAGTTTTAGTTTTTAGAAAACAAATAAGTCTTATGAAGTGTAAAGTGAACAAATGCCCCTCTTCAATTATTTATATCCAAGTAATCCAGCATAAAGTGTTCTTACAACTCTTAGGAATGCCTCCCTTCATTTTCTTCAAAAGAAAGAAATGCATGGCAGCTGAAAATGGGAGACAAATTACAAAATAAGAAAAAATGAGTATGTGATATAGTGCCTGATACCAGCAAGTCAAGAAAAAAGCTTGTCTTAGGGGATATACAGCCAACTATTACTTATAAGTTCAGAGATATCATAAGACCCACCAAGAAGTAACACAATATGTTACAGAATTATTATTTTGGAAGAATGCTCAAATGCAAAGGAAAACGTGTAACGAATTCCCACTGGTTAACTTACCCAGCTGGTACCTTCAAGAGATCTTACGGTCTTAAACACAAAAAACGGGCAAACGCATAACTTCAGAAAAGTTGCAAAACAGCCGCAAGAGCTTCTTCCAGCAGAACAAGGCCTAACGTTACCCATCCAGCCTAGAACAGGGCACAAACAGCAGCTGAAGGCCTGCTACGATTCCATACCCACGTCTAACATCGAGAACAGCTAATGCCGATCTGAGAGAAGGTGGATGCAGCTCGGTGAATCAGTGCGAGCGGGAAGACCCTCAAGATACTCGACCATCATCATTGGACTTCGGCCTATGAGTACGAAGTGGCGGAGACAGGCCTAACGTTAAGGTTCATCACGGAGAAAAGATTCTAGGATGAAAATTCCCAACAAGTGACATTTCATCCTACCCCAAAACTAAGTGTAAAAACCAGAGGAAACGCAACCGCTGAGCATCGGCCTTCGAGCCGGCGACGACCTATGATAGTTCGGCCTATTCGCTTGTTTCGGCTAGGCCAGGCTACGCTCCGTCTCACCACGTGGCTCTGCGACCGCTCCTTCCGCAGATTCGTTGGGTCTCGGTCCACAGATGGAACAGCCCCAGTGCCAGGCCGGGTATGCCGGCGGAGGCGAATGCCATCGTACCGCGTGGACTGCACGTGCTCGATGCTGCTCGGCCAAGAACCTCGAATCTTCGAATCTATTGAATACTTTCCATCGAAAGTCCCGTTACTCGAGCTCCGAAAATGCGTCGTGTCGATAATGGATTTACAGGAAATGAAGATGATGGAGCGGTGACGTATTTTGGCTGAAGATTCTGGAGAGGGAGGGGGGGGGGGACCAACCCCACCCAAGCCATATCAGGCTAGAAAATGCTTACCTCTAAGGAGGCACGAGGCTCGATCCCAGAGGCGCCGTGGAGCTGCCGCCCCTCGCCCCCACAAAATACGCCACCGTGGTGGAGGCTTTCTCGTCGTCTCCCTTCTCCCCGGCCACGAATGCCCAAACGATGTCCCTATTCGTAATCGCTCGGGCAGGGAATCGAAGAAGAAGAAGAACCATTTTTCAGCAGGTTGAAGCAGGTGAGTTAAGGAAAGAAAGCGTCGAGCAGTTCGCAGGTTAAAGGGAATAGCCGCTGGTTAACGAGCAAGCCGAGTCGGACGATAGCTCACCCTCTCAAGGATTCCCTCTTAGTGGCGATGCCCGCCGATGTCTCGAACCTATTGAAAGCGATCCGCGTCCACCCTCCATTCATCCTGCGTCCACCCTCCATTCATCCTGCGTCCACCCTCCATCCATCCCGCGTCCACCCTAAAAAAAAAAGTCCCGGAACGCGCACGTAAGTACGAGCTTAAAACTGCCAATAAATGCCGAAATAAGTATTCCATAAATTTACTAATTTACTTGCGATTTTAAATTTACGCATCCAATTCTGGAAACGATTTCTTTGGTAGATGACATTTAAGTCAACATTTTATATCTTCTTCCTCTTGGTAAATGAATTGAAAACACGCTTTCCAGGAAAATGTACTTTTTTTCCCGAGAACAATGGGCAAAATATGCGTAAATATGCATATTCATAGAAAACCGCATATTTACGTATTTTTAAAATTAAATTCCATCCATCACTTCCTCTCTCGATAAAAAAAAGCTCCTATCGAACCATCTCTAAGAAGAAATTGCACCTCGTGAATGCGTCGGCCCTCCTGCTGGAAGACGTGGACCGCCGAAAGCAAGTGGGGCGCGGAGCAGACGGCACGGCTGCCTATTCGAGGCGATGGGCCACGAGCTCCTGCCCATTGTGCGACTGGCGCTTCCCCCCCCCCCAGGCCCCAGGCATCCGACGGGGCGATGTTCCAAGAGTCCCCACTAGATGGAGGTGGTGGTCCCTGCATCCTTCCGATGCAATTCCCGACGGTCTTCCTCATTTATAACGAGTATTTTCCACCCCCTTTCCTCTTTTCCTTAGGCAATTCAAAAACAGAGATTAAGAGAAAGGAGAATCAAGATGTTCTGATTGCATCGTATCCCCGCCCGTCCGGCGTCCAAAGGGATGCCGCGGTGGTGTCAATAAGAATGTGATTGTCATATAACAACGGAAGGGTTGGGGGAAGGGGTTCCCTATCGTGTGACGTCAGGGGCTGCCTCTCCACCTTTCCCGCCGTCTGCTCTGCCCCGCCCCCCGAGGGAGGGGTCATTTATGCATGCTAAACGAGTGGATGCATGCTATCGATGCGGTGATATGTTTGGCTCGGAAGGGATCGACGACGGAGATGTGTTCCAAGCTCCGTTCCTTTTTTCCTTTTTTTTCGTATGCAGTCACAATTCATCGAGTAATTAACCGGTCATCACGTTACCGATCGCGATCGGAGTTGCATGACGGAAAATCCGATGAGTCGTGTAATCCAGCGGTCTGCCTAGTGATTCTCATACCGTACCATGTACCATATGAATACGACATCAGAACGACTTATTGACGGCCAGGAATCAGAATGATTATTACTGCTCTGATAAAGTCTCTAGGTTGGACACGGTCAGTAACCTCTCTCGGAATTTCTCCGATTGAGTGGTAGAGGGATGCCATGATAGATGAGATGGGTGATCCTGAGAATTCGCTTTCTTCGAAGCGAGCTCGAAACACTCTCTGGGAAATTGTCGAAAATATTCTTGCGAAATAAAATTCTTTGAAGAAAAAAATTGCCACATGAAAGGAAAAAAGGTGAGAACAAAAAATTTTCTTCTAAACAAAAAATCCTAATGCTTAAAAAGAAAAGTAACGCACAAGAACAAAAAAAATCTTTTGACTGTTTTATTCCATAATTTTTTCTCTTGCAGAAGTTTCCACTTAAAATTTTTTATTGTCCATTTCTGTTTGCATGTTTGTGTTTGTGTCTTCGTCTTTCACTGTATTCAATGAAACGTTTTCTTGACAAATTGAAATTGCACTCTCTTTATCTACACACATTCAAATTTCACACTTTCTTTCATTGACAAAAATACCAACTCAATCACTCATTTATTCTACCGTCACAACCTCACCTGGCAGAACGTAAGAATCCTTCTTCAGGAGAAACTCTTCAGTTTCTCTCGCGAATTTTTCTACATTTTTCTGTAAAAACTCCAGGGATTCTTTTATGAGTGATTCCGACGTAGAAAAGCGCTCCTGCACTCTCTGAATCAGTGAATTTCCAAGCAAGTTTTTCACCATCGAAAAGGGCAAATGTATTTGGTTGAAACTTTGTGGGCAAGTAGATATTCCCATGGCAGAACCATGCTGAGGGTCGCGTTCGAGCACATCGATCCCTCGCCGCAATTTACTCTTTTAACCTCACTGTATCTCAATGGCTCTCATAAAAGTTCGCCGGCCAACATTTATGGGAGTTCAGATGCGTCCAGGAAGGGAAGGGAGAGACCGGAGATGCACCGTCGAGAAGTGGAGGATGATGTGCGATGAGCCGGAAAGTTCTCTGCAGGATATCTAAGGGATGTATTAGGGAATGATGGTATGTTATATGTATCTCGATGCACTAAAATTTCAGGTCCGCTCGGGGAATCAGACCTTACCCGAGATTACCCTTTCAGTCCTGAATTAAAGCCACTATCAGCATGAAATCCTTCTTGCTTTTTTCAGCTCTTTTTTTCTTTTGTGATTCCTTCTTCTCTTGTTTTGTATGTCGGTTTTATACCTTCTACAGGTTTACCATGGCATACCTTACATATTGAATGAGACATGATACATTTAATTACAAAAACTGACGGGTGAAAAAAGGCATCAGATGGAACTGAATCATGCCTAATTGCGCCTAATGCAGTGTAATACGGTGTGCCGATGAGTGCCACCTGTCACAACATCAGGTTCGAATGTTTCTTGAGGGATGGGAACGCACCCAACGGAGCGGAGCGGGAGGAACATGGAAAGGCGGACGTGACCCTGCGTCCTCTCGTCATAAAGCTCCTGGTTTCCTCACTCCGTCTTCCCTCGTATTCACGTTTCATGTACCTAGGTATTTAGTTGATGAAGTAATGTGAAAACCTATTTTCAATGGCTTTCCCTTTCTTCAACCCCTCCTCCTCGCTCTTCTTCTCAACGGGACTCACTAACATTAGGCCTAGGCATGACTAACAGACTTCCTTGGTCTTGGGACATCTCGCCGAGGGCGTCTAACACCAGGCCGATGTTATGTCTGTTTCGAGTTTTCGCGTTTCGTTAACCATTACAGAGAACACGTGGAACATGAGAACTATCTAGAGTTCCTCGAACCATCTCGAATAGGTCTGAGGAGGGAATGCCTCCACGAAGCATGTGATCCATGGTGCGCGTCGTCATGGTGATTCAGGGGTGTCCGGAAGATATATCTGGGTATCTCACCACGTCGACCAATCACTGCTAACCATCGCTCCATTCTCAACTTAACTCATGAATTCAGCACTTAAGTATGTCATATATTGAAAAAAAAAACAAGTATTCGAGACAGATACGAATGTTGAAGGAGTCTTGAATCTGGCATAATCGCCGCATGGTATCCAACAACACTAGAAAACGAAACCGGAGCGAGTTCTCTAAGCCTAATGGAACGACACTTCATTTCATTTTTCAAGGCGAAATGATGCATCTAAAAAATCAAAAGGCCACTCTCCTTCATCTATGAGCCAATATAATTCCTCTGGGGAATTTGGGAAGGATTAACATCCTTCCCAAATTCCTTTCTCTCTCTTCAGTCCTCAGAAAGAAGGTTTCCATGGAAAGCTGCTTGCTGGGGTGAATGACTTCATGATCGTAGCAGCGCTGACATCCATGGAAGAAGCAACCGTGAAACTCGAAGATGCTCCGAGATTCCATATGGAAGCCATCCACTCTAAAGGATCCGATTTTCTTTTCACCGTCTGGATGGTTCAGCGCGTGCCTAATGTTGATATGCTGGTCGTGTGCGATGAAGTCTAGCCATTCAATGCTGGCCTTTGAGAACGATTTAAGCCATCCACTCTAAAGGATCCGATTTTCTCTTCACCGTCTGGATGGTTCAGCGCGTGCCTAATGTTGATATGCTGGTCGTGTGCGATGAAGTCTAACCATTCGATGCTGGCCTTTGAGAACGATTCTAGGTGATAACCGTGGGAAGGAACCATGGCTATCGTATCAGGCTCGATGAAATGATTAAAAATGGCGTGGCAGATCGATGCTATCGTCACATATTAGAAAGGGTCGCTACCAGCCACCTGAAGCAGAAGATCTCGGCACTTGAGGGATGCCCTCCGCAAAATGTCAACATCAGAACGACAGTACTTTTTCATCTCATCATGAAAGATGAAGATGTAACCCTCATTTTTCTTCTCTTGATGCCACTCCAAAAATGTTTTTCTCTCATGGGATGACATAGAATCACATCCATAGGCTTCAGGAGGTGGAATAGGGCCTACGTAGCGTTAATGTTCACGATCATTCATGAAATGAGGAAAATATCCCTTACAGATGGTTTCCAGGGCGAAGGTAGACGAGAGTTTCGATAATGACATGGGGAGGAAATTGTCGGAATCAATAATCCTGATTTTGAAAGAAGGTACCTCAAGGGACATGATTTTGGAGCCGTTCATTATCACTTTGGTGTCAGTCCATACTTCAGAATGTATGAGAGAATAAAATATCCATCGTAGGATTTCATGCAGTGGGCAATTGCTGTAAATCCCTTGTGTCTCCTTTGAAAGAGCCACTCCCCGAATTTCTTTTCGGTGTCATAACCGGAAAATATGACTTCCTTGCCATCGGCGTACTGTGCAATACAGTAATTTGCTATATGTATTCCACCCTCCGACTGATCGGCTTCAAAATCGAAAAATATGTATTTTCCTGAAGGATGCTTCATATCCTTCCGTGCACGATGACAGAGATGACTGGAATCAACCGGTTTTTTACAACCCTTGCAGACATTGTCACCACATCGATGTTTATCCTGAGGGATTCGTTTGGTCTCGAAAATTCGATGACAGTCATCGCAGTACCAACTCCTGTTGCATGTTGCTGCATGTTCCTGCGTGCAAACCGTATTTCTGCAATATTTCCTGCAGAGAGAATTCAGCACTCATGAATTCAGCACTTAAGTATGTCATATATTGGAAACAAAAAAAAAACAAAAATTAGAGACAGATACGAATGTTGAAGGAGTCTTGAATCTGGCATAATCGCGGCAACACTAGAAAACGGAACCGGAGCGAGTTCTCTAAGCCTAATGGAACGACACTTCATTTCATTTTTCAAGGCGAAATGATGCATCTAAA